CGAAGACGCGCCGCGCTGCTCCTCGCCGCCTATCGCCGCCGGATCTCATTGAAAATGAATGACTTCCGGCTACTTTGACGCTCTCGCCGCTTTCGGTGTGAACGTACGGTAAGTTACACAAGCTGGATTCATCAGTCTAGACACATTTTTATTTATAGTTATCATGCTTAATATGAATAGGCCTTTTCTATCAAGCATGCGTTTACATATAAATATAATGTGAGAATAGTGCATTGGAATGTAAAATCCGGTTCTGTGTTAATAGATGTTTTTTAATGTTTGTGTATAGTTGGCCCAGACAGAGTCATCGCACGCAGAACTCCGCAAAGATAATCATGTATAATTAATTTATATTTAATATAAACAATTCATATTTATCTGTAATTAACATTTCATTTAATAAATTAGTGATGTTTCATTCCATTACATGGACTGCGATTGCTAAATTCACTGTTTGATTAGATTAAGTTACACAAGCTGGATTCATCAGTCTAGACACATTTTTATTTATAGTTATCATGCTTAATATGAATAGGCCTTTTCTATCAAGCATGCGTTTACATATAAATATAATGTGAGAATAGTGCATTGGAATGTAAAATCCGGTTCTGTGTTAATAGATGTTTTTTAATGTTTGTGTATAGTTGGCCCAGACAGAGTCATCGCACGCAGAACTCCGCAAAGATAATCATGTATAATTAATTTATATTTAATATAAACAATTCATATTTATCTGTAATTAACATTTCATTTAATAAATTAGTGATGTTTCATTCCATTACATGGACTGCGATTGCTAAATTCACTGTTTGATCAGATTGATTAAGATACATGAGCTGGATTCACTGGTCACATGTGCTAGAATCACACTGAGGACATCTGCTGGTTACAAGGGGGTAATGCAAAAAACAGCAGAGACTAAAAATCAGGGTTGCTTTGAAATGGAAAAAGCTTTCTGTGTGAATAACCCCTCGTTATATAAATGTTTACACTGTTTTTGATCAGCAATGGCTTTGTTTCTCTTTGTCAGGCGGTCTGGACTCTGTTGAGTACTACGAGATCGGCAGTAACGAGTGGAAGATGGCATCCCCGATGCCGTGGCGTGGCGTGACGGTGAAGTGTGCAGCCGTGGGCTCCGTTATTTACGTTCTGGCTGGATTCCAGGGCGTGGGCCGTCTGGGTCACATCATGGAGTACTACACCGACACCGACAAATGGGTGGTGTCCAGTAAAGTCCGAGCGTTTCCTGTCACCAGCTGCCTGATCTGTCTGGTGGACACGTGCGGCGCTAATGAAGAGGACATGAGCTTCACACCTTCATCGTCATCATCTTCATCGTCAGCGTCGTTAGCGGATGGGCGAATGTAGGATTGCCTTAAAAAGACCATATACAGATACTGAAAGCATGTTGATGGGTTAATGGTTGAAAGTATGGAAAAGGTGATGGGGATTTTATTATCTCACAATTCAGACTTTTTTAAATCACTGTTCTGAGGAAAAACTTTTTAGTTTGTCTCACAATTAGCAGTTCTTTAATTGTGGGAATTTAGCATAGACTTCTGAGAAATAAGTATAATTCTTAGTGTGTGTGTGTGTGTGTGTGTGTGTGTGTGTGTGTGTGTGTGTGTGTGTGTGTGTGTGTGTGTGTGTGTGTGTGTGTGTGTGTGTGTGTGTGTGTGTGTGTGTGTGTGTGTGTGTGTGTATCGGAATTTTTTGTTTGCATCCTGGAATTGTGAGCTTATATTTGAGATTTTTTATTATTTTAATTTATCATTTTGGAAGTCTGTTTATTTTTATGTGCGGCGCTAATGAAGAGGGCATGAGCTTCATATCTTCTTCATCGTCAGCCTCATTAGCGGATGGACGTTATGCCATAACAACAATATACAGATACTAGAAAGTACAACATGCTCAGTCTATATAGTTTGAAAATGTGGTTAAAAAATACAACATATTGAGACTATGTACTTTAAAGGTTAAAAGCATGAAAAAGGTGATGGAGATTTAATTATCTCTCAATTCAGACTTTTTTTTTTTAAATAGTTTTTCTTAAAAAAAAAAAAAAAAGTCACAATTTGCATTGCAATTTGCATTATTTTAGTTTGTCTTTTTGTTCTGAGAAATAAGCATGATTCAGAATAAACATATTAAAATACTTGGTATATATATATATATATATATATATATATATATATATATATATATATATATATATATATATATATATATATATATATATATATATGAGCTATAAACTCAAAAATCCAACATAAAAATCTCAAAATATAAGCTCTGAATTCCAGGATGTAAACTCAGAATTTTGATCTTATATCTCAAGATTTTTTATCTCTTTATATATATATATATATATATATATATATATATATATATATATATATATATATATATATATACACCCACAATTATGAGAAATGAACTCAGAATTCCGATATATATATATATATATATATATATATATATATATATATATATATATATATATATATATATATATATATATATATATAGAACAAATATAGCGTCACCATAAAGATGGTATGGCGATACTGGAAACTTACTGAGTCTATATAGTTTAAAGGTGATGGGGATTTTATTATCTCACAATTTAGATTTTATTTTTAATCTCTGTTCTGAGGGAAAAAGAAACGTCAGAATCACTGCAAATTTACCATTTTTTTGTCCACAATTAGCAGTACTTTAATTGTGTGAATCATCGAGTTCAGATAAATAAGTATGACTCTGAGTTTTTTTTTTATGTAATTCTGTGTGTTTATATATCGTAATTCTGAATATACATCCTGGAATTCTGAGCTTATATCTCGAAATGTTGATGTCTTATCTTGGAAGTTTTTGGTTATTATTATACAGACATACAAACCATATACAGATACTGAAAGCATACTAAGTCTATATAGTTTGAAAATATGGTTCAAAACACTGAGAAGGTGATGGGGATTTTATTATTTCACAATTCAGACTTTTTTAATTGCCGTTCTGAGGAAAAACATCAGCAATTTACTTTATACTTTAATTGCGAGATTTTAAAACAGAGTTTAAAACAAATAAGTATGATTCTGAGTTTACATATTAAAATTCCTAGTGTATGTATGTACACCCCCCCCCACAGTTCAAACTTGTCATCTCAGGGTTTTTTCTTCTTCTCAGAATTGCCAGATATTCACTCCCAATTAAGATATTTTTTCTCCAAACTTCGAATGTAATAGAATTATTGAATATAAAACTTTAAAATAAAATAAAAAGTCAAAATTGTGAGATTAAAAAGGCACAGTTAACGTTTTACAACTTCCACAATATTGTGCCAGGACATTGTTAATTTATATATTCCCCTCATTGCGGTTTCATGTCTTTGGGGCTGATACAGACGTGTTCAAACATGTTTATGTTTTATATGTTTTAATTTGTGTCATTATTTATGTACATTTCTGCTCATTTATTTTAAGTTGCAACACTTAATGGGATAAATCTCGACCGGACGGCTTCAGGAAAGTCTGATACGTACTCATTTTGGATTAGAAATCCATATGGCAAAGGAACGTGCATTTTTTGGTAAACATTTGTACCTTGATTTTTCTGTATTTGGAGACTAATATGTGTTTATGCTTTAAGAGTTTGTATTTTGATGTGTTTTATAATGTGTAAATGTTTATAATTTTATTAACAGGTTACAAACTTTTTTTGTTTAACTTTACTCAATAAAATTCGAGTTTTTTCATACATAATATTGAATCATGTGTTTGAATTATTATTTTTAATAATATTTAAGTATTAAATGTTCAGTTCATGGCGACACAGTGACTCAATGGTTAGCACTGTGGCCTTGCAGCAAGAAGGTCACTGGTTTAAGTCCCACTTGGCATTTCTGTGTGGAGTTTGCATGTTCTCCCTGTGTAGGCGTGGGTTTCCTCCGGGTGCTCCGGTTTCCCCCACAGTCCAAACACATGCGCTATAGGGGGATTGATAAACTTATTTGGCCTTAGTGTGTGTGTGAATGAGTGTGTATAGGTGTTTCCCAGTACTGAGGTGCAGCTGGAAGGGCATCCGCTGTGTGAACATATGCTGGAACAGTTGGTAGTTCATTCCGCTGTGGTGATTCATCCAATAAAATGAATGAATGTTCAGTTCATGTGCTGAAATCTTTAGTTAGAACTCTTATTATATATTATTATGCGTGTAATAAGCGTGTGGTGTAGCTGTAAGTGCTTGCAATGAAATCTTATAATGATTATACATGTTTACAAGGTGAATTGATGATCTCACATTAAATAAATATGATATTTAAAATAAAGCGATGCTTTATTATAATATAAACAATGATGACGTGCCAAAAGAAACTCCAAATAATATAATTATGTGATTTTCTTTGGTAAATATTAATAATTCAAAGTTTCCCAGTGATGGGTTGTGGGTGGAAGGCCGTCCGCTGCGTAAAATACATGCTGGATAAGTTGGTGGTTCATTCCACTGTGGCGATCCCTGATTAGTAAAGGGACTAAGCCAAAAAGAAAATTAATTAATTAATTAATTAATAATAGTTCTTATGATGGTAAAATGTCACCAGGTGGCGCTTTATATTTAAAATTAATTCAGAATCCATGTATACGTGTAGTAAAAATAAAATATATTGCACTTACTCTCGATAAACGCTGAATTAGTTAGATTTAAAATAATTTTAGACGTACTTTAAGAAACTTAATCGCGAGTTAATGTAAAGAGGCTTTATAATGTAACCCAGCTGTGTTATTCCTCTCTGTAAGGAAACAAGTTTAAGAACTCTACTATGGTGACTGTCTTACCTTATGAATATTAAGTACATAGACTGACGTTCATATTTTAGCTATATCTGATTGGTCAAAAAGGCGGGCACTAAGTCACTCGGCGAATCAGCGTGACGTTGTAAAGTGACCGCGGGACATATTAATATTAATGGGGTATTCTGATTGGACACTTTAAAGGAGTTTCTAAGCAACGACAAAATTGCGTTATTAATGTCAATGAGCCAAGTCTCTTCAACAGTGTAGCTTGCTAGTTTTTTCGCCACCTGTACTGGTTCTGAGTTTTAGTTTGTGGTTTTCATTCGTTCAGAAAGAGTCTGGAGACAAGTCTACAGTGTGTTTATGATCGTAATGAGGATGATACTGTAGCTGAGTGTGATTTATATCAACAAAGCGCTTTATTTGTTCACTTTCAGTCGTAGTTGTCCTCAGGATCAGTGATTGAGAACATAACGTTAGCTTGGAGCCTCAGCAGCGGCGGACACTGAAGGTTTGTTTATTCTCCTCTTCGTTGAGTTGTGATGAGCATTTTGTTGCTCCTGCTGCATTGTTTAGATTTTTTATTCATGGAAAAAGTCATGAAACTTTGATTGAATTGTCCATACAGGACATGTTACATGTGTTTAATCAGTAAAGCAGCTGGTTTATGCGCTTATGAACAACTTGGGCGTTTGTTTTACTTCAGTTTCGTTTGTAAATGTGCTTAAATGACTGTCAGAAAGTGAGAGTTGATGTGAAATAGTGCATGAAATTTCCTATTTTCACACTGATTATTATTTGCCTTTGTTTAAGTTAGTCTTGTTGAGTTGAGCTGTTGACATTGAACTTTTCCACACTATTAAGAATTAGGGTGAACGAGTATAAAGAGTGTGGCTAGCGTTATGTGTAACAGTTACATGATTTGTTGTAACGTTAGAAGTGTCTTATGCTCATTTATTTAGTCAAGAAGAGATGTAAAAATGTGAAATACATATATATTTTTAAATAGCTGTTTTTATTGTGATGTATGTATCAAAATGTAGTTTATTCATTGATTTTTTGTATCATTATAGTCAAATGATGCTTCAGGAAATTCAAACTGATTATATGATTTTTATTATATTCTAATATACTGTAATAATAAACGAATAATCTCAACCAAGATTTTCAAATGTTTTTATTTGCATAAATTAATTGCATCCAAAGTTTATATTTACAAAATTTATGTATTTATATTTGTAAATATGTACGTATATTTATGTATATATATATATATATATATATATATATATATATATATATATATATATATATATAATATATAATATATATATATATATATATATATATATATAGATAGATATGTGTGTGTGTGTGTGTGTGTGTGTGTGTGTGTGTGTGTGTTTATAATAAATATAAATAGTTTTTAAATATTAACTTTTATTTTAGAATTTGGATGCGATTAGTCATAATAATTTTTTACAGCACATGATTATTTTTTCACATCAAGTATAAAAATAATTTTAATTGATAATTATTTTTAATATCTTTACTGTATTGTCTTGATAAGTTGAGCTGTTGACATATGGATCGTTAGATTTTCCTCACTGTTAAGAATTGAGGTCAAAGGTTAGTTGTTTAAATAGTTAATATGTGTTTAAATTATGCTATAACTATGTATCGGATCAAAATAAAAAATATATATGATATAAAATTACTTTGTTCTGTTTTAAATGCAGTTTATACATTTGATTCGAAGCAGAATTTCCACAATCATGACAGTCTTCTGTGTCACATGATACTACAGAAATCATTCTGATAGGCTGAATTTGTATACATGTTCAAAAAGGAAATTAATGAATTAATTATATTTAGTAATTTTACTGTATTTCTTTAAAAATAAATGCTTTCTTATAAATCATAAAATACTTCCTTCAAAAACTTTAAATATACACACACACACACACATATATATATATATATTATGTAAAAATTCAAAATGTATAATTTATAAAAAAAAAGTATAATATAAAAATACACTTTCTACCTTTCTACATTTTCATTTTAATGTGCATTCATTGGAGGTTTAAAAATCTGAAACCACAAACTTGTGACTCTTTTTATTGAGCACAAAATATAATGTGATTTAAAAGATGATCATAAAGGTTTAGGAGCAGACAGCGTTGTTTACAGTCTCCTGTAAAACTAACCAGAAAGAGGTATGTGCTGAAGAATGACAAACTCTCCTTGTTTTTTTCTCTATCCCGACTGGTCTGACGTCTTTGTGAAGCTTCAGTCCAGCAGAATGAATGCTGTCTCTGTGTTTATGACTTCAGCCGTCGCTTTGGCTCAGAAATCATGAAAACCAGAGTGTGTGTTGCTCTGGAGTGACTGAAGCATCTATTGTATGAACACACTTACAGTCGACAGTTGATGTTGTGGACTATAAATGCATAGAGCTTTACAAAATGATCATTTCATATTCAGTTCTGGAAAGCAGCAGACATTGACCTACATATTTTTTATGATGCATGTCAGTGGTTCAAGTTTTCTAGCATCAAAGTTAGCATGGGTTAGCATATTTCTGCTCAGCCCCCCTTAAACTTTTGCGATTAGCTCAGAAACTGTACACTAAATTATCGCCTCAGCCCTTTAAATTTGATAAGAAAACAGCGGCAGAATTCGGCTCCTCCTCGTATTTTGTTTTTCACATGATCAGCAAACCACAGCTGTGGACAGCGAGAGAACAAGCCGTGTGTTTATCGATAAATTGTTATAATATCTGCTTATTTGCAGTTCTTTGATATAGATAACCTTGTATCACCTGTATGTCACAGAGGAGCAGTCGGGTTTTCTAGGCGTTCACCTCATCAACACAGTTTTTTCCTCCATTAAAAAATTAAACTCTTAACGAACATTTTGCTATTTTTATGTCAAAATAAATACCAATATTAAACACTTTACAGTTCGTGTGGCATTAATAACGATACCATACCATCTTGCACAGAAAGGATTGAACACAGTGACAGAAGCACTTGGAGAATGTACTCGTTATAACTGTCACTGACATCAAGTGTTGTCTAGGATTAACTTCTAGTTATGTTATCTAGTATTAACTTAATAAATTATTTCTTATTTGTTATTATCCTTCAGATCGTGAAATATGTGAATTAGTCTATAAGTTTAAATATATATATATTTACTTTTATTTTTATCATTTTTTTACCTTATAAGGAGCTGAGCCCCCCTAAAATGAAATTCCTAAAATTGCCCCTGAAAGTAAGTATTTGTGTTTTAAGAGAAGAAACCCAAATAGGTGAGAAAATGAAGAATTTAATTTGTGTGTGTGTGTGTGTGTATGTTAGAGAAAATTATTGACGTTTTTTTTAAAAGGGCACCTATGATGCAAAATCAACATTAGGAAGCTATTTGGCTTCCAACTTACTTTACGTTGTGTATAATGGGGCATATGAAGTCCCCTTTAAAGTCACAGGTGCAGAAACAGCTACAATTACCCAAAATTGACATTTTGGGCAGGGTGTAATGCATGGTTTTTGAGCTGAAACTTCACAGACACATTCTGGAGACACAAAAGACTTATTTTACATCTTAATAAAAGGAGTCCTTTAAGTGTTTCTAATATTTTCAGCAGAACTTGAAGAGCCTCAATGGAGCTGCAGAATGAGGAGTGAAGGCTGTGTGTTTGCTGGATGATCGGTAGCTGACGTGAGCTGGACTGAAGCTGATGGCTGATAATGTGCCGTGTGGTCTGCTGGAGGCCTGTGTGCTGCTTGGAGTGTCAAACGAGCGCCTGAAGGAGCTGTGCCCGGTCAGAACACTGAATACTGCTCAATACAGTATTTTACATTCATTCTATGAAGTAAAAAAGCAAAAAACAAACGAGCAAAATCAGTTGAAGTGTTGTTATTGTGTACTGTTGAAGTCAGAATTATTAGCCCCCTATGATTTTTTTTCTTTGTTAAATATTTTCCCAAATGATGTTTGACAGAACAAGGAAATTTTTACAGTATGTCTGATAATATTTTTTCTTCTAGAGGAAGTATTGTTTGTTTTGTTTCAGCTTAGAATAAAATCAGTTATTAATTTTTTAAACGCCATTTTAAGGTCAATATTGTTAGCCTCTTTAAGCTATATTGTTTTCTGTTAGTTTACAGAACAAACCATCATTATACAATAACTTGCCTAATTACCCTAACCTGCCTAGTTAACCTAATTAACCTAGTGAAGTCTTTAAATGTCACTTTAAGCTGTATAGAAGTGTATTGAAGAATATCTAGTCTAATATTATTTACTGTCATCATGACAAAGATTAAATAAATCAGTTATTAGAGATGAGTTATTAAAACTGTTTTGATTAGAAATGTGTAGAAAAAATCTCTGTTAAACAGAAATTGGGGAAAAAAATAAACAGGTCGGCGAATAATTCAGGCAGGCTAATAATTCTGACTTCAACTGTATATCTGCACACAATTTTCTATGTTTGATATGTGTATATATTGTATTTTTATGTTTAATTTATATATTTAAATACACATTATAATATCTGCATAACATTTTATTCTCTAAATAGATTATTTAAATCTAGCATATTGTGTGTGTGTGTGTGTGTGTGTGAGTAATATCACACTCGTAGATATGGCTCTATATTGGCACTGGTTGGGAGGCGTGCATTGGCATGAGTGCCTTAGTGTCCCCCCAGTGACAATAAACAGCCATATTGCACTGCTAGGAGTGTAATATTGCATTTATACAACAATTCGACAACTTAATTGTGTATATAGAAAAGAAAATCAAACACGTAGAGTCTTTAAAACCCTTTTGTTTGAGGAACTACTTTCTTCCGCCATTCACATCCGCAGCTGACGACAAAACAGCAGGAACTGTCGCTCAAATGTCACGTTAGAGCTAGTGTTTGAATGATTCTCTAGCGTAATGTCTAAAATGATGACAAAACAGCTGATTTTGCTGAGATTTTAAGATAATAAGGCTGAACAGCATGAAATGCCATCAGTCTACAGAGATTTCTCAGTATTTCTCTGTTGTAATCTGGATATGACAATAATCAACCCAGAAAAAGCCAAAGCAAACACTAGCAGATTACTGTGGTATAAATACAGCACTACAACATACACAAGAGAGAGATCGACTTCGAATGTCACTTACCTTCCTTATAATCATTTGATTAGCTTTAATTTGAAATTAACGATGAGTTTATCTCTCCTAATGACTTATTATGGGGTCTTTGTCGCCGTCTTGTGGCGTAACGTCAACAGTCTTTGCTCTGCTTAATGACATGCTGAATCTCCGAAATCATACATGTTTAAAATGGGCACTATCCTTTTAAATAAACTGCATAGTTGCAAACTAAACAACTATATTCTTACTAAAAACGACTCAAAAGTACATGATGTTGTCCAACAGCTGCAATATTTTTCAAAGTGAGTTTATTGATGTGCTGTCAGTCTATGTTGGCGGAGTAATACACAAGGTGCTGTAGGAGTGCTGTTATTGCAGAATATGGCACGGCTATCAGCCAGTCAGACTCGAGAACCAGACAGAACTGTTGTATATACATTAACTGTATATATAAATAGATTTTTTTACCATAAATTACTATTAGTTCTTAAAATATATAATGCATTTTGTATTTGCCATGAGTGAATGTGTATTTGCCGAATGCTAACTTCTCTTGCTTTTTAACTTTTCGCACAGGGTAAAGATGCAGATGTGTTGGTGGAGGCGGAGGTGCTGCAGGTTCACGCTCCACCGTTTATAACAAAGGATCGCTCTTGTAACGGCGGCGTAGACCAGGGCGTGGCTCCGGCCTTTAGCCGAGTCCAGAAGAGACGCTCCTTCAAGAAGAAGAAGAGAGAGCGGCCGGTGTCAACCCTCAGCAACTCCAGTCAAGCCAGTGAATCTGAAGAGCTGAGCGTCCCGCAGAACATTGATCTGATCGCCCTGCCACAGCTCTGCTTTCCTGGTAAAACACACATACACACACACACACACACACACACACACGCCTCGTTCTTACACACTCAATCTGACCGACACGCTCACACAGATGCTTTATCTTTAGTCAGATGCTGTGGTAAACAGTACCTAATTATTAATTTGAATTTGAAATGAATCAAATGATCAGTACAGAGTGAGTCTCCAGTAACTGATTCACTGATTCAAATGATCTGTTCGTAGTTTGTCTCCAGTAAATGATTCACTGATTCAAATAATTTGTTCTAAGGGAGTCTCCAGTAACTGATTCACTAATTCAAATGATCTGTTTGTAGTTTGTCTCCAGTTAATGATTCACTGATTCAAATAATTTGTTCAAAGGGAGTCTCCAGTTACTAATTCACTGATTCAAATGATCTGTTTGGAGTGAGTTAACAGTTAATGACTCAATGATTCAAATAATCTGTTCAGAGTGAAACTCCAGTAAATTATTCACTGATTCAAGTGATCTGTTTGGATTGAGTCTCCAGTAACTGATTCACTGATTCAAATGATCTGTTCGGAGTTAGTCTCCAGTTAATGATTCACTGATTCAAATAACTTGTTCAATGGGAGTCTCCATTAACTGATTCACTGATTCAAGTGATCAGTTCAGAGTGAGTCTCCAGTAAATTATTCACTGATTCAAATTATCTGTTGGGAGTGAGTCTCCAGTTAATGACTCAATAGTTCAAATAATCTGTTCAGAGTGAGTCTCCAGTAAATTGTTCACTGATTCAAGTGATCAGTTCAGAGTTAGTCCCCAGGTAATGATTCACTGATTCAAATAATTTGTTCAAAGGGAGTCTCCAGTAACTGATTGACTTATTCAAATGATCTGTTCGGAGTGAGTCTCCAGTCAAAACTCACTGATTTAAATGTTCTGTTCACAGTGACTCTCCAATAAATTATTCACAGAGTCAAATGATTTGTTCAGAGTGAGTCTCCAGTAATTGATTCACTAATTCAAACAATCTGTTCAGTGTGAAATCTCAGTAAATGATTCACTGATTCACATGATCAATTTAGAGTGAGTCACCAATAAATGATTCACTTATTCAAATGATGATTTTAGAGTAAGTGTTTAATAAATGATTCACTGATTCAATTGATTACTTCAGAGTGATTCTTCAGTAAATGATTCACTTATTTAAATGATACGTTCAGAGTGAGTCTCAGGTAAACAACTTGCTGATTCAAATGATCCTTTCAGAGTGAGACTTCAGTAAACAACTCACTGATTCAAATGAACTGTTCAGAGTGAGACTTTAGTAAACAAGCACTTTAGGTCTTTTATTTAAGTAATATTGAAAAGGAGGAGTTTTTAACTTGACTACTGTGACTTAAATAATGGAGTAATATAGTGTTATGGTAACTGCACTTTTACTCAAGTGTATAATTTGTGTGCTTTGTCCTTTACTGTTCAGATGGGTTGAGAATCACCAATGAGAGCAGAGAAGACTCGTATCACTTCCTGGTGTTCACGGATGTGTTCGGGAATCAGACTCATGGTGTGGTCGCTCAGTACTGCAGACCTGTACAGGTGAGACATCAAAATATGAACTAATAGATTTACTGATCCGAAATGTTTAATAATCAATATGCTTTTTTATTATGAATATAAAGAACAAACATGCATGTAGGGTTGAAATCAAAATTATTACTTAAATTATTACTTTTTCAAATATTTCCCAAATACTGTTTAACAGAGCAGATAAAAATGTCTCGGTATTTTATATATTTTTTGTTCTGAGGAAAGTTTGTTTTCATTTGACAGATCCTTCTGATATGATCATTTGATGATCAAGAAACGTTTCATGCTTCAGAATATTTTTTGGATGTATAATAACTATTTCAGTTTTATTCTTCAGGTGTTGTGTAAAAGTGTTTGCACCCTTACTGATTTCTTATTTCTTGTGGGGTTTTTTTTAACACAACTGCAATGAAATGTTTAAATATTTTCGTTTTGAACCGCTTTTTTTAAGGTCATGCCACTGCGTCTCAATTGGATTCAGGTCAGGACTTTGACTAGGCCACTCCAAAGTCTTCAATTTATTTTTCTTCAGCCATACCAAAGTGGACTTGCTGATGTGCTTTATATCACACCACTGTTAATGAAGTTTCACAGCATTTATTTGACGTTTAGTTGTCGTTTCTGTGTGGAGTTTTTATGTTCTCCTCGTGGGTTTCCTCCGGGTGCTCCAGTTTCCCTCACAGTTCAAACACATGCGCTATAGGGGAATTGATGAACTAAATTGGCTGTAGTGTATAAATGTAAGAGTGTATGGGTGTTTCCCAGTACTGGGTTGCGCCTGGAAGGGCAACAACTGCGAAAAACCTATGCTAGTATAGTTGGCGGTTCATTTCACTGTGGCGACCCCTGATTAAAAGGACTAAGCTGAAGGAAAATGAATGAATGTTTGTCTTGACATAACAAACGTTTAGTTTGTCAATGCATCCTATGCATTCTTGCTGAATAAAAGAATAAAAATAAAAGTATTCAGATATTAATCTGTCTTAATTTGTGTTGTGTTATTGTAGTTCCAGCAAGATAATGTGATTTATGCAAACGGCCATCGAACCAACGAACACAAGCGTCTGTACACCACATTCAGCATATGTGTGATCTCCAAATATCCCTATTATAACGCCCTCAGAGACTGCCTGTCCTGGTAAGACTGCTGTTTATACTAATCTCTATCCTCAACATGGAGTGACGTGTTTGTTATGCGTGTGAGTTTATTCCTCTGCTGTTGTAGTTTTCTGTTCCAGATGAAGACATCCCGTGTGTCTGACTTTGATGAGCAGGTGAAGGAGTTTTCTGCCAAACTGGCGCTGGTGCCCATCCCTCCATCTGGACCACTGCATGTGGTGAGCCGCTTTATTTAACACTCCACAAATCTTCGCAGAAATGTTAGTGATATTATCTGAATGTCAATAAAAGTGTTTGCAAAATGATGGTGTTTTCAGTTCAGTGCACATGCATACCGAATGCTAACCTTTCTTTGTCTGTGGAACTTTTTTTAATTATTAAATTATTCACCCTCCCGTGAAATTTTGGTTCTTTCCAAATATTTCCCAAGTGCTGTTTTTTTAACAAGGAATGTCTAATAAGTAATTAATTTTGTCTTTATCATCGATTTGTACAAAATGTTTAGGATACTCCAAATAGTAGGTTAATTATGTGTTAACTCTTTCACTGCGATATTTCAGTCGATTTCTCATTCACCTTTTAAAAACAATGTTATGATTGAAATACATATAATTGTGTTTTATACATGTCAAGTAGTATCTGGTTTGAGGTTAGCATCTGGAGCTAAACCTGGTTTCCGTCACCTTCACCTCTGTTAGCGTCAACCTGGCTACTGTCAACTCTGTTACCATCACAGTCGATTCTGTTACTGTCATGTCAACCCTGTTACTGTCACCATCAACTCTTTTACAGTCATCCCTGTTGCATCAATCAATTCTGTTACTGTCACGTCAAACCTGTTATCATCAACCCGGTTACCGTTACCATCAACTCTGTTACATAAATTCTGTTATCATCACCGTCAACTCCGTTACGTCTGTTCTGTTACCATCACCATCAACTTGGTCACCGTCATCATCATCAACTATGTTATGTCAATTCTGTTACTCTTCACCATCAACTCTGTTACCTTCATCGTCAACTCTGTTATGTCAGTTCTGTTACATCAACTTTGTTACCATCACCAGCTCTGTTACCATCAACTAGGTTTCCATCAACTCTGTTATCATTGACCCAGTTGTCGTCAACTTTGTTACCATCGCCTCTTTTTCGTCAACTTTGTTACCATCAACTTTGTTACCATCAACTCGGTTACGATAACTTTGTTACTATCAATTCGGTTACCGCCAACTTTGTTACCATCGACTCGGTTAAGTCAACTCTGTTACTATCTATTCGGTTACCGCCAACTTTGTTACCATTGACTCGGTTGCATCAACTTTGTTACCGTCAACTCGGTTACGTCAAGTTTCTTACCATCGACTCGGTTACGTCAACTTTGCTACCATCGATTCGGTTACCATTAACTTTGTTACCATCGACTTTGTTACCATAGACTGTCACGTCAACTTTGTTGCCTTCAACTTTGTTGCCTTCAACTTTGTTACCGTCAACTTTGTTACCATCAACTCGTTTACGTCAACTTTGTTACCGTCAACTTTGTTACCATCAACTTGTTTAGGTCAACTTTGTTACCGTCAACTTTGTTACCATCGACTTTGTTACCATAGACTGTCACGTCAACTTTGTTGCCGTCAACTTTGTTACCGTCAACTTTGTTACCATCAACTCGTTTACGTCAACTTTGTTACCGTCAACTTTGTTACCATCAACTTGTTTTGGTCAACTTTGTTACCGTCAAATTTGTTACCATCAACTTTGTTTCCATCAACTTGTTTAGGTCAACTTTGTTACCGTCAACTTTGTTACCATCAACTCGTTTACGTCAACTTTGTTACCATCAACTCGTTTACGTCAACTTTGTTACCATCAACTCGTTTACTTCAACTTTGTTACCGTCAACTTTGTTACCATCAACTTGTTTACTTCAACTTTGTTACCGTCAACTTTGTTACAATCAACTCGTTTACGTCAACTTTGTTACCATCAACTTGTTTAGGTCAACTTTGTTACCATCAACTCGTTTACGTCAACTTTGTTACCGTCAACTTTGTTACCATCAACTCGTTTTCGTCAACTTTGTTACCGTCAACTTTGTTACCGTCAACTTTGTTACCATCAACTCGGTTACGTCAACTTTGTTACCATCAACTTGCTTAGGTCAACTTTGTTACCATCAACTCGTTTACGTCAACTTTGTTACCGTCAACTTTGTTACCATCAACTCGTTTTCGTCAACTTTGTTACCGTCAACTTTGTTACTGTCAACTTTGTTACCGTCAACTTTGTTACCGTCAACTTTGTTACCGTCAACTTTGTTACCGTCAACTCGGTTACGTCAACTTTTTTTTAGCTGTGCAATTTCTTTCAGTTGACTCGTTTCCTTGCTGGTTTTTTTAGGTGTTTAATCTCAGACCGCTTCAGATTGAGCTTCCCTCCAGACTGGATGTGGATCGACCCGTAATGGACCTCGATCTCCATCTGCCATTTCTGTGCTTTAAACCCAAGCAGATCCTGCAGGTCAGTCCCACATATAGATGTTTTTTTTTTCACAACAAAGGGACAGTGTAAAGATTTGCATATTAATAAATGACTAAAATAATATAAAAACTGAATAAATAAATATATACTGGCACACATTTACATGAGTAAATTAATAGACTCGATCTGTGGATTCTAGTAATTACTCACGACTGCTTGATATGTTTATATTGATTCAGTACATGTAATACAGTCATAAGGAAGATGAGCCTTGTGTTGTGTTTGTGTCAGATCATCAGCAGTATCCTGATGGAGCAGAGAGTGGTGTTTCTGTCCACAGACTGGGCCAAACTCACACTGGTGTCCGAGTGCTTCATGATCTTTATTCACCCTCTGCGCTGGCAGCATCCGTTTGTGCCCGTCCTGTCCCGACAGATGCTGGACTTCATCATGGCGCCCACGGCCTACCTGATGGGCTGCCACACGTACCACTTCCAGGAGGTGGCAGAGGTACAAAACACTGCATATAGCAATGGGTTTATTGTAGACAGAGACCCTTCACTCAACTTAAAATTCATCATGTATTCACTGTTTTAGAGTTGCCAAACCTATTTGAGTTTCTTTCTTCTGTTAAAGATATTTTGAAGAATGTTGGAAACCGGTTACCATTGACTTCCATTGTATATGTTTTACCTACTATGGAAGTCAATGGGTACAGGTTTCTGTAAAAAATGTCTTCTTTGGTGTTTAATAGAACAGAAGCCTCAGGTATTGAACAAGTGTGGGGTTCGTAAATGATGTGGTCATTTGCATTTTTTAGATGAACGATCCCTTCAGCTTAATTTCTCAGACGTTGACAGTTTTTGTGTGTGTGTTTTCAGGAGATTGAGGATCTGGTGCTGATAGACATTGACCAGGGAACAGTGTCGTCTTCAACATCAGACAGATTTGATCTTCCAGACGTGCCGCTTGCAGCCAGAGATTGTTTTATATTCCGGTAACTGATGCAATATTTCTGTAGAAATGATTGGGATCAGTGCAATTTTTAATTTTTTTAACCCTTTAAAATACTGATTAGGACAAATCCTTTTACTTGTTACTAAGGGTTATTAAAAGCCCTATATTGAACTTACTCTACATGTATAATAGCTTATAATGAGCATGATTGTGTTTCTGTTCAGCTGTGGGGGTCTGCAGCTCCACTATGATCTGGATGTGTGCGGCTCCAGCAGTCAGACTGATGTGAATGATCTGCGAGCTCACAGAAGACTCTGGCAGCGCAAACTCAACTCCAGCATCCTCAACATCAGCATGGAGCTCATCGTCAACATATTCAGGTCTGAAATATCTCTGTTTATGTATCAAAGACAGTCTGCTAAACTTAATAAATTGATTAATAAATAAAACTCACAAATGTGCAGTAACTAAAAATGAAATCTAAACAAAACCAAATATATATGAAAAATATATATATTAAATAAAATAAAATATATTGAATAAAAGCATGATTGTACAATAAGTAAAATAAAATATGTATATAAATATATATAACACATGTACAATAAGTATAATATACAGTATAATACTTTTACCGGCCTGTATCTGAGCACTGATGGTATTTTATGCTCGCTGGTTAATAAACATGTAAAACTGTGTTTTCTGCAGTGAGGTTTGTGATTTCCTGAACTATGAGCATCGAGTTTTCAACAGCGAGGAGTTCCTCAGGTCCAGAGACTCCACCGACTCTGCCTTTTACAGAAAGGTACAGAAATACGCAGATTCAGGTTTACACTCAGCATGTGCTTCTCTAATATATTCATATGTGTGTTTGCGTGTGTGCATTTATTCTTTTGTGTGTGTGTGTGTGTGTGTGTGCATATTTTTGCGTTTTTTTTTTCTCCATTTTTGTGTGTGTGTGCTTTTTTGTGTATGTATGTATGTATGTGTGTGTGTGTGTTTGTGCGTGTGTGTGTGTTGCGTGTTTTGTATATTTTGTATTTCTCTCCGTTTTTGTGTGTGTGTGTGTGTGCTTTTTTGTGTATGTTTGTGTTTTGTGTGTGTTTGTTTCTGTATGTTTGTGCGTGTGTGTTTTTTGTTTGTGTATTTTGTTTTTTGTGTTTTGTGTATTGCTTTGTGTGTGCATTTTTGTGTGTTGTATATTTTGTATTTCTCTGTTTTTGTGTGTGAGTCCTTTTTTGTGCATGTTTGTGATTTTTGTGTGTCTGTTTTGTATGTTTGTGCGTGTGTGGTTTTTGTTTGTGTATTTTGTTTATTGTGTGTTGTTTTATGTGTGCATTTTTGTGTTTGTGCATTTTTGTGTGTTGTATATTTTGTATTTCTCTCCATTTGTGTGTGTGTGTGTGTGTGTGTGTGTGCTTGTGTATGTTTGTGTTTTTGTATGTCTGTGTGTGTGCATTTATTTGTATGCTTTTGTGTGTGTATGTTTCTGAATGTTTGTGCGTGTTTTTTGGGTTGTTTTTTTTGTGTGTGTGTTTTGTGTATTTTTTTGCGTTCGCATTTTTTATGTTTGCAATTTTGTGTGTTGAATATTTTGTATGTGTGTCTTTGTGTATGCATTTTTCTCTGTGTGTTTGGGGGGGGGTTGTGTGCATTTTTTTTTGTGTCTGTGAGATGTGGTTGTGATTAAATATTTGTGTGTGTGTGTGTGTGTGTGTGTGTGTGTGTGTGTGTGTGTGTGTGTGTGTGTGTGTGTGTGTGTGTGTGTGTGTGTGTGTGTGTGTGCGTGCGTGCGTGCAGGTTTTAGACACTCATATATTCCACTCGTTTCTGCGGGAGCGTTTGAACAGAAAGAATGACGCATTCACTCGCATGCAGCTCAACATCCGCTCAGAGACTCGCAGGTAATTAAAGTCCTTCCATCTCCAGTTTTCCTTCATTAAAATGTCTCCGTAATACCCACAGCACGACTCTCCAGAGTCTCCAGAATGTGTGTGTACTTACAGCTCAAAACACCTTCAATCATTTACTATATCACACTGTAAATGCCTTTTGTGTTTCTTTAAATGCAAATGAGCTGCTGTTCCCGCCCCATTTCTATAAGTGGGAGGAGCCTTTACAGCTGGTGTATTGGTTACTCCGACAAAAACAAATAAAGCATTCGTGTGTTTAAAGCCTTGTCAGTTTAAAGGGACAGTTCACTCAACAATGATAATTTACTCACTATTTAATCCCTCTGGAGTCCTTCCAAACCTTTATGAGCTTCTAGTCGTTTGGCAAAACCTTTGATTTAGCTATTTCCATGCACACAAATGACGTATGTTTACAGTAAATAAGATAATGGCAGGGTGGAGTTATTAAAAACCAAACTGCAAAGGGATCTTAAGGATGTCATTGAAGGAAGAGGAAGTAAAATATACACTGACCGTATTGCACAACATCAAGCCCACATGGTGAGACAGTGTATTTAAAGACTGTTTAATTCTATAAAAACATGGTGTAAAAACTATTTAATGTCTTATTAAGTCTTATTTAATGTTTTATTGTTTTACATGTACTACATGTTTAGTACGCTGACAGTCGGCTGCAAAAAAGAAATCATTCATTCACTTCCTGGAGCCGCATTTAGCAGATCATGTCAATAATTTGTACAGTATGCAGCAAGACGGGTTCGGTCTGTTGTTCTGTCAAAGAGACAAATGCTTGTACTTGTGTTGAAGTGTGTAGTCTTCGTGGTCCTGCTTGTTTACTTCTGTGCTCCTGGAAGTGAATTTCGGTATTGAATATTTTTTGTGTGGGAAAGCATGTCTGAAATGCAATATAAGAGGATAAAATAATAATTAAATGTCGTGCAGTTTAATGATTAATCATGACTAATATGTGTGAGTGTACTGTGCATATTTATTAAGCATGTGTAAATGCACGCACATATGCATGTACTATATTCAGTCATTCATTTTTCTTTCGTCGTAGTCCCTTTTGTTTATCAGGGTTGCCACAGGGGAATGAACCGCCAACTATTCCAGCATATGGTTTATGCAGCGGATGCCCTTCCAGCTGCAACCCAGTGCTGGGAAACACCCATACACTCTCACACTCATACACTACGGCTAATTTATCTTATTCAATTCCCCTAAAGGGGAGCACCCGGAGGAAACCCACGCCAACACGAGGAGAACATGCAAACTCCTCACAGAAAAGGCACCTGACCCAGCCGGGACTCGAACTAGCGACCTACTTGCTGTGACGTCACAGTGCTAACCACTGAGCCACCGTGTCGCCTCTTTCCATTCACTTACATAATATATGTTTTTTTAATAACTGAAGCAATTAAAGGATTGAAAGGATTACGTTTAAGTGTGGTTTATTCATAAACTAATTTCGAGAGGATCACATGATTATGATCAACACGCCTGGCTCCTTATTAGCTCCGTAATCTATCCTATTAGATGATTACGGAAGCATTTTAAATAATTAGAGTTTTTCACACCAGTTATCTTCGTCTTGAAGCTCTCCCCCTTTCCACCCCTACTTCCTCCCCTCTTTTCTGATAGGGCGACACGGTGGCCCAGTGGTTAGCACTGTTGCCTCACAGCAAGAACACCGCTGGTCTAACCTATCGGGCCGGTTGGTGTTTCTGTGCAGAGTTTGCATGTTCTCCCCGTGTTCGTGTGGGTTTCCCCCTGGGTTCCCCGTTTCCTACCACCGTCCAAAAACATAAACCATAGCAATTGATTAAATCACATCATCCCCCAATACAACCTTAGTTTACACTTCTCACGGCGACAAGCAGGGGAGTTCTCGAGACCTACCTGAGCTCAAACTCCCCTCTCGCCCTTCTAACAGGAGGGAGCCCCGGGCTCGAGGATATTACGAGCTCAGGACTCTCTCCTGGGACAGCATGCCAAATACGCTTTATTGATTATCAGCTAAGTGTGAACTCTTGAAATGAACTATCCCTTTAACTGAAAGTTTACTCTTTATGCAATAGGTTTGCAAAATATGCATGAAAGATTTATCTAAGATGAACCTTACATCATCATCTGCCAAGTGTGTCCTCTCACTTGTTTTCTCTTATATTTTCACTTTCTCAGGCTGAAGATTATGACCGAGTCTCCGCGCAGACCCACGATGGAGGAGATCAACCGTAAACACCGAGCAGAGAACGGCCTGAATAAGCGTTTGGGGATGAGCATGCCGAACCTGGCGGACTCTCGATCTCTCACCGTACCCATCCGACAGATGTCCATGATGTCAGTGAGGATGCCTTTACAGATGGGTGAGGAAACACGAGTGCGCTTTTTACAACACAATATACAATATACTGTATGTGTTAAAGTAGGAACACTGATTTGGTTTAATGAATGTGCTTTTCTAGATTATTCAGGGTATCAGCAAGGTCTTAAAAAAGCCTTAATATTTCTTAAATTCACTGAAATATTTGTCTTGGGTATTAAATCATTTTAAACAGGTCCTAATTATTCCCATGTTCAGGTAAAGCTACCCTATCAGGCTGACACCCAATCACCAATAATGCATCTCAAACCTTTCTTTTTCTTATTTAAGTTTTTAATGGCAAAGAGAGACAGTTCACAACAGCTGTTAGACATTTGTACTGCAAATTCTGCTAATTAAATTCCCTAATCAGGGAAAGAAAACTAAAGCAACACATCCCTTTACATGATCTTCCATCAATACAAAAACTATTTACAGAAATAGCTGGCTCATTAGACTACTTCTATATATCCCTGTATAAATCTAAAATTTCAATTATAATGGTCTTAAAGAAGTCTTAAAATTTGACTTTTTTATTGTGTTATATTTTTAATTGCAACAGAGATTAAGATAAGTCTCTTTTAACCCTTGTGTATTGTTCAAATTGACTACCCTTTCGTTATGTTGGGGGCTGTTTTTGCCCCATTGACTTCCATTATAATCACATTTTTTTAATTGCACAGTCATGACAGCATATAATCATGCGTTCCTGATTGTTAGTGGTTTTCTCTGTTGGGAAGAGGTCAAATGTGTCATTTTTACTGTTGATCATCAGTTGGCAGCATTAACCCTTTAGATAGGCCTGTGCAAACAAGTGTCTGACTTTTGTATGGAGTTCTGTGGAGTAAAAGAGCAGATTATAATATGTGTGTGCAGAAATATACTTACTTCGTTCTGAGAGCCACAATAAACCCCATATAAAAGGCAAAAACTAAGCTTTTTTGCATTATAACAGATGATTAACAGTAAAAATGACAAATTATCCCTCTTCCCAACAGGGAAAACCAGCAACAATCAGGAATGCATGATTATATGCTGTCATGTAGGGCAATGAGCACATCTGCAATAGTCACATGGCAAAATATGCATAATACATTAATTATAGTTGACCAGGAATTTAAACAATTTATGCAAAAAAATAAATAAATAAATTTTCTTAGAATTTCTAAGTTTTTCTTAGAATTTTTGACTTGTTTCTTGTCCAAATATCTACATTTCATAGTGAAAACAAGATTATTTTACTTTTTTTGTTTTATGGAAAAACTTGAAAGGAAAAGTTAAAAACAAAACAATATTTTTACTTGACCTAAGAGTTTTTTAGATATTTGGACTAGAAACGAGAAAAAAAAACAGTAAGAAAAGCGTTTTTTGTTTTTTTGCATTGTTATTATTCAGTTTCTGTACCTGACTCCATAGAAAACCATCAAATAGTGCCATTTCAATGATCTTATAAAGCTGGATCCCATATCTCAATATTTAAAATTAAAATATCGCTATATCAGATTTTTCCAATATCATGCACCCCAACTGTCATGGCTTTGCAATCAGAAAATGTGATTATAATGAAAGTCAATGGGGCAAAAACAACCCCAACATAACCAAAGGGGAGTCAATTTGCACAGTGTATTGATGAATTATTAAGAAATTCCCATGCGTTTTCCCAAAATATGTGTCAAAATAAGATTTGTCCAATCTTTTATTTTAATGACTGTATCTGCTGAATAAAACAGGGTCACACTTTATTTTGATGGTCCGTTTGTTGAGTTTAAGTTACTTTGCAACTAATTCCCATTACATTATAAGTAGACTGTTAGGTTGGGGTTAGGGTTATTGGTATTGTCAAGCTTTTTTTTTTTTTTTTTTCCGCAAAATATATTTTTTGGACAAAGCAGTTTTGCTTAAATGCACTAACATAAAAATTTTCATAATAGAGTGTAATAATTTATGCTGAGCACTATGTACTCTTTATGTTGATAGGTTCCTGGAGTCCTATAAAGCCAGTCAAAACCTTCAAACTCCCAGAATTCCCTCCACCACTGGCCTACCACTATGTACAGAACTACTACCACGATCTGATTGGGCAGTTGGACAGATCCATCTCATCTGCTTCCCCAGACGACTCTGCTCTCTTGGCCCGCTATTATTACCTGCGTGGACTGGTGAATTCTGTGACTGGACGACATGTGGACGCCCTCGCAGACTTCCAGAGCTTATATAAGACGGACATGGAGATTTTTCCTGCGCAGCTTCTGAACACTCTGGTGGAGGCTCTGCCTGTGGAGGAAAAGAGGATTGCGGAGCGCCGCACCGATCTGAAGCGTCTCATGAGCAGGGTGAGGAGGGAAAACGAAAAGGACCGAGCGCGGCTGGTGGACGGCGGGACGGTGAAGAGGTTTGAGCTGCCCAAAAAACACCTGCAAAAGGAGGATTTTGTGCGGCGCGTTCAGGAGTCGGGAATCGTGAAGGATCTGGAGACCATCAAGAGGCTGTTCGAGGCACTCACTCTGGGTGGGTATCAAAACAGCCAATCAGAATGAAGCTGGCACTTGATTGGGCCAATCTGAGGAGTGAACTTATTGGCTAGAGAAGCTTGGAGAGATCTGATTTGTCAACTTTTCCTGCAATATAGAAATTAAATTCTTAGTAGAGATTTGTAATCTAACTGAAGCTGGATGGACCGAATGGATAGTTGGTTAACTGGATGGATGGATGGATGGATAGACAGACAAGATTAATGCATAGATGAATAGATGGATGGATAGACACATTAAGGATGGATGGATGAATAGCTAAATGGCTAGACAGACAAGATGGGTGGATGGATGAATAGATGCACGGATAAACAGACAATATGGAAGGATACATTGATGGAAAGATTGACAATCTGGATGGTTGAATATGTATTCAGATAATTGGAATGATGGATGGGTGGATGGATAGTTGAATTTTGAGTTAGATAATTGGATGGATGTAATGGATGGATGAAGGATGGATAGATAGTTGGATTTGAAGTTAGATGATTGGATGCATGGATGGATAGTTTGGAGTTGGATGGATGGATGGATAAATGGATTTGGAGTTAGATAAGTGGATAGATGGATAAAGAATGGATGGATAGTGGGATTTGAAGTTAGATAATTGAATGGACGGATAATGGATGTGTGGCTAGTTGGATTTGGAGTTGGATGGATGGATAGATGAAGGATGGTTGGATAGTTGGATTTGGAGTTGGATGGATGGGTGGATGAATATATAGTTGGATTTGGAATTAGATAATTGGATGGATGGATGGACAGTTGGATTTGGAGTTGGATAATTGAATGGATGGAATAGATGGATGGATGGATGAATGATGGATGGATAGTTGGATTTAGAGATGGATAATTGGATTAATGGATGGATAGTTGGTTTTGAAGTTAGAAAATTGGATGGATGGAATAGATGGATGGATAAAGGATGGATGGATAGTTGGATTTGGAGTTAGATGGATGGATGTAATGGATGGATGGATGGATAGATAGTTGGATTTGGAGTTAGATGATTGGATGCATGGATGGATACTTTGGAGTTGGATGGATGGATGGATAAATGGATTTGGAGTTAAATAAGTGGATGGATGGATAAAGGATGGATGGATAGTGGGATTTGAAGTTAGATAACTGAATGGACGGATAAAGGGTGTGTGGATAGTTGGTTTTGGAGTTAAATGGATGGATGGATTGATAGTTAGATAATTAGATGGATGGATAGATGGATGGATGGATGGATGGATGGATAGAGTAATAAGATAGATAGATGATGGATGGATAGTTGGATATTAAGTCAAATAATTGGATGGATGAATGGATAGCACAGATAAAGATAGACAAGAGATGGATGTACAGAAGGATTAGATGTACAGTCTGTATATCAATGATATTTTAGAAATGTGTTTGATGCATCAGCCGATGCTAGTTTTCAGTGTTGTTGTTGTTGTTGTTGTTGTGTAGAATCTCCTGTTAAACACACTGCAGTGTAAGTATAATGCATGTACCAGATGAAATAAGTGAAATCTGCATGTGATGGTCACCGGTGTTTCTCTGGTGTGTTTGGTAAAACTGGTTCTGGTTTGTCAGGTGTGGAGGACTCGTGCCGGTCTGTATTTTACCTTGAGCTGGATGGTAAGCGTAGTCTGCATGTGTAGTGTGCACTACTAATACATCATCATCGTCACACAGCACGCATGCATGTCTGAGCGCCTGCATGTCTGAAGTGCAGCAGTGTTCTGCAGGTACGCCTTAGACCTCGAACTAACCATGTACGTGTGTCAACAGTTTGTATAATGAAATGGGTATGACACAGATATTACGACTAGAAGGCGACATACAGCATGAGCAATTTACACACACTTACGTAATAGACTCGCTCTGCAAAAAAACGAACTTATGAATTACAAAAAAAGGCTAACATGAGTGCATTGCCCTTGTTCCCATTTTTCAACAGCCTTATAAACCCTAGAGTAATAAATAAACTATAAAGTAAGTCCCGTTTCCTGTGAGGCTTATGTTTAGGGATAGTGTTGGGGTACGTCAATAGAAAATACAACTTTTTTACAGTATAAAAACAATGGAAACCAAGAGAATGTCTCCACAATTCGCAAAAACAAACCTGCCTGGATGTGTGTGTGTGTTATCTTGTATTCCTTTTGTTATGAGGACAAAATGCTCCCACTAGTATAACAATACCAGTCAAGTTTGACCTCATGGGGACCAAAAAATGTGCTCATGAAGTGAAAATGTACTGGTATTGCTAATAGTGGGGACATTTGATTTAGGATTGAATGAACACTCTGTATTGTATAAACATCACTATAGCTATGGGAAGTCCCCATAAAGATAGATGTGTGTGCGTGTGTGTGTGTGCAGGTTTATGTGGGTTATAGGGACACAAAGTTGTATAACAACATGGGTAGAACTAGTTGGTCTCTATTAAGGTGGTTTACAGGGTCACACCTCGTGTCCCTGTAAATCAGAAAGCTTAATCAAACTTAGCGAGCTGTTTGGAAATTAAAAATTGTCCACGTTTCCTGCAAGGGCTGGGTTTATGTGTAGGGCCATATAATAAGTGGTGTTTAATGGATAAAATGGATTATACCTATGTAGAGTCCCTCTAAACTATGTATGCAAATGTGTGTGTGTGTGTGTGTGTTTAACCTCCAGCTTCAGTCCTCTGTTCACACTCACTGCACACACTCCTCGAGGAGCTCAACGCTGGTTAATCATTTCCTCTCTGTTAAAGTCGAGCTACATTTATAGTCGTCTGGCAAATGCCAGTTCCTGCACGCCGTCAGTAGAGCCGGTTTATATGTGTCATGTGTGTGTGTCGAAAGCCCGGGGTGCGTTTACTGGCACTGCATATTCATGTGCTTGTGTGTGTTTATGGCATGATGCATCAATCATTCATGTAAAAACACTGGAAGAACACGAGGCTCTGCAGATTACCTGACATTCAGGTTTGCAGAAATGATTGTGTATTTCTATATTGTGCATGGTTTATATTTATCTCACAGGGATTTACCACGTTGATTTATTGTTTAAAGCCCTAACGATGTCATCCTTATCGCAGACATCATGAGATCTCCAGTAACTCTAGCCGCTTTTCCACTATCGTGCTGAATCGTTCTTTAAACAGAACTGTTCCATTCCGTGCCAAACCGGGCCAGACAGCACGGATACGGTTTCATTTTCCACTGTCGTGCTGCGACAAAGCTCTTTAAAACATTACACAAAACGCATCAGTAGTTGCCTTGGTAACGCAATGTAAACGGCTCCCTTTGTTCAATTAAAGTTAAATAAGAGCCGAAACTATTTATTTCTTTTTTTTTTCATAAAAGCAAAAGCAACCATGTGACTAAACACTGTTATGCCGCTCTATCAAATAGGGGTGCTAAATGTGCACCCCTATTTATTTATATGTTGCGCAGCTCTGGCTAAATTTTATTTGGAGGGAAAATTACCAAAATGTAACGTGATGATTGAAAATAATTGAAGGGGAAATAAATAATATTTAAAATCTCTGAACATAACAGAAAAATAAACAATGATAAGACAACAATAATAGTGCATTTGCATTATCGTGGCAGAAATATAATTTTGGACAGGCCTTGTCAAAGGTGAGCGGGCACTTTCACTAATAAAAACACAGCACATAAATTATTTCATTTTTAACAATTAATTAAACTACACTGCGTTTTATATCAAAAGTTGATAATGATATAAAATATACTACATTTTGATGGTAAAATGAAACCAATTAAGCGATGGCTGTTATTTGTTTTACTATTCAAACATTAAATAACGAATGCAGCAAGTGAAATAAAAAACGAATATGAAACAACACATATATCGCAGGATTTAAAGCATATAAAGCACTATTATATTTAGCAAAATGCTGCTCTATTATCTTTTTATTTTGATCCTTTTATTTTTATTATAATAATTATTTTTGTGTTCATAATTAACTAACAAGCTGTAGGCGAATTATTGCTAGACGTTTTAGAAAATATTTGCGTAGCTATATTAAAGATCACCACAACAAAAACAAAAAAAAACACAGAAACATGTTACATGCCTCATAAATGTCATATAACTTATGTAAAACTGAATCATATAATTGCCTATAGCTGAAATGAAGAAAATTGCTCATTTTATTTTTATAAAACATAAAAACGTATTGATATTTTTTGAGTAAAAGCAATACTGACATTCAAGAATCCATATTTATTTAATTCATTCATTCTTTTGACTTATTTATTAGTGCATATGCTGTAATATAAATCATACAACAGTACCTTGGACAGTTACAGTGCCGCTCCGTAAAGCTTTCAAGCAAAGTCTTTTGGACGGCCGACATTACAACACGAACACGCCGTCCTTCAGGTGGTCTCGCCGGTATTAACAAGCTGTCCTGGCTTTGAATTAAAAAGTGCAATTATTTCCTCGTTGTTAAAAGAGTCTGCAAGTTCGTGTTCCATGGATATAGTGATGTTGTTGTGGAATTTGGACATCGACGATGCTGAGCGTGACTTTATTCGCTTTATTCGATGCGCAGCAGGAAAAAAAAGTCAGCAGCGCAAGTCGCTCTCCCGGATCAGAGCGAGTTTTGTGCTGTGAAATACAGCGCTGCGTGCAATAAACTCACATTCAGGCAGGCGAAGTAGGTCTGTATTCAAGTCAATAAAATAATAACTTTAATGAATAAAATATCTTCGTAAGAATGTGAGGAGTTATTCACTTCTCTGCCAGAGACTACTCTATGGTTTTAAAACCCTTTTCAAACTGTATCGTTTAGACCTGGATCATTATTTTATATTGAATGTACTGTAGTTTATTGAGGATGTCTGATGACTAGCGCGCTTCTGCTGAGCCAGCTGTGGTAGCTTAGCAACCGAGTCGCGACGTCAACACACAGAATCTGTCAGCACAGTTCAGCACGGTTGTCTAACCGTGCCGAGAATTCCGGGCCGAGAACGGTTTGTAATCGTGCCGCGCCGTTCCAGGCTCAGTGGAGAAACAACCGTAACCGTACCGAAGTGTTCTTAGAACGGTTTGGCACGATAGTGGAAAAGCAGCTTCTGTCATCATTTACTCACCCTCATGTTCTCGGAAGCAGAAACGTCGTAATAATGTAATCATAACGTAATGATTTCATCATAACTACATCGTTCTTTTTAGCAATGGATGATTTCAGGAGTCCTGAAGTCTGCATATTGCACAAGTTGTATTACGCAATAATTTAATGCGTTTTATTTTGTGCTTTGTTTTGCACAATTTTACTATTTCTGTATTCTTGTGTAAATTATGACACAGTTTTTTTTTTTTTGCTAGGCTTGCCCAATTTTTGGAATCAACCATTTGGTTTTGATCATTACTTAAAACGGGAGATCTGTGGATAAGTTCAGGGTAAATTGTTGTAAATAAATCTGATATCTATCTTTTTATATTAAATGCATGATTAAAAGTTAATGTTTAAATTAAACATATTATAAATAAACAGGCAATTAGGGCTTTTATGGAGAAAAATAAAGGGTGGAGGAAAGGAGTTGAATTAATTCATGCGATTAAATAAATTGTAACTGAATATAGATTTAAATGCATTAAATTGATTAATAATAATAAAAAGTACAATTAAATAAAGGAATGCTTGCATGCAGAAGGGCAGTGTTGGAAAATGTTGGAAATGTTTTTTTTTTTTTTTAAAGTGTAAATAAAAAAAATAGGTATGAATTAAAAAATCCAATTAACTGTGCACATTACAATAATGGATTATTGTTTTAAATTATACCACACTGCTTTTTTTTTTATTCTTTCTTTCTTCTCTAATTTTAATGTACTACTCATTCTGGAAAAAATTCAATAAAACACAATCTTAATTTAAAATTTAAAATTTAAACAATTAATAATAAGAAATGAAATACATGATTGAAGGAGTAGGATCCGTGTTAAAATTCTAAATAAAAATATAGCAATTTAAGTCATATTCGGGTATTTTTAAAATAAATGTTTGAAATAATTATATTGTTAAAAAAACTAATAAATTAGCAAACATGTTAGAGGTTACATGGAGAAAAATACTTGGTGGAGAAAAAAATGTCAAGATATTTAAGGTGCTTATACTAAAATAGTAATTGAAAATAAATTAAAACACATTATAAATAATAAAATTAAATAAAATAGATTCGATAGAATAAAAGTAATAATAATAATAGCAATACATTAGAAATAGATTACAACAAATATATAAATATATATGAAGAGTTCAGAAGCAAAAACCTGTAAGTGCCGTCTGAAATTTCCGTTAAAATTTAGCATCATTCTTAGCCTAAAAGTGAAATTACTGAAACTACACACAGGAGCCTGATATAAATGCTCATTTTAGAAGAAAAGTTCAGACGGCATTTAGAGGTTTTTGCATCTGAACTCTTGATATTTATTTATTAAATTTTTTAAACCATAAAATCGTAAGTCCATGGCACTTCAAACAATTTTTTAAACTTTTCAAGTGCCTCGAACTTATGATTTTGTTGTTTATCTTTATGAATCCCTTATTTAAAAAGCACCGACACATTAATTACACCTAAAGCACCTTTTGTCTTGAAGCATATCTATATTTTACATTTAATTAAAACAACATGTCCATTGAAAAAAATCTAAAGAATTCTAAAGTATTAAATACACTTTAAATAGAAAGTCCCTTTATTCATCAGGGGTTGTCACAGTGGAATGAACCACTAACTCAGCCACCAGATGTTAATGCCAATGTCGTAGTGGAAAGTGCACCGACTAGGGTTGGGCATCTAAGCTATAATGCCGATCCGATACGCATCTCGATACAAAGAATACGATCCGATATATTAGCGATACATTTGTGACATATTGCGATGCAACACGATACGATTCACACCCATATCACGATACGATGCGATAATTCAGCACTAACTAATTAGATCAAGTTTATGAGATGATGTGAAAGAGGATGCTGTGCCATTGAATGAGTTTGATTATTTATTAACCAAGCAAAACCAAGACTTTTTTTTTACAAACTGGCTCTTCTCTCAGAGCCAGAGTGTCAGTTTACAGTAGAGGGCCATTTTAGAACATATAGCACATATTATTTAAGTATTTTCAAGATAAACAGAATGTATAAGTGCAATATATATTAAAAAAATATGTATATATTTGCACTCTTTCAACATAAATAAATTTAGCATTGCACAACAAGAATTGTGATTTAACTTTTCAACTATAAAAACAAGTTTTACAAAGATATATTTTGCCACTGATTATTCAAAACTTAAGGTTGTGAACTAGCAGTGTTATGCTGCTTTGAAACATCACTGTCACTGTAAACAACAGGCTAATAAAAATATAACAAACCAGCAATCTTCTTGCTGTGAGGTGGTCAAACTACCCACTGTGCCACTGTGACACCCAATTATTTTTATCATTATTATTATTAATATTATTATTATTATAATTAAATAAAAATTAACAGGAGGAGGTGTTTAAAACCTTCGTTCTCCGTGACACTAGGCTGAATATCTTTGCAGATGAACAATGCAATAGCATTCGTTATTGGCGTAGAGCGAGCAGAACTGTTGCGCACGGAAAAAAAACTTGCAATGCTTTTCTCACCACTTTTGGAGCTGGTTGAAGCAGTGCGAAAGCCGGGGATGCAGAAACACTGGAAGATGCTTTCACAACAACACCGTGGCGCCGCTTCAAGTGAGATATCAGATTAGTCGTACTGCCCGTGTATTTTACAGATGCGCGGCACATTTTGCAAATTGCATCTGTCCTGTCATGTCATCCATCCTTAAATCCATAATGTTGCCATACTTTAGATTTAAAACTCAGTGGGGAATAAAATGTTTGTTTTGCTTCTCGCGCTTTCTGAGGGCGCTCCACTAGCTTCATCCGCACACCTGATACACTGAGTTGTAGTGTAAGTGTGCACATCCGCAAATCCGTTGCTAAGGCTTACTTTATGTAGGTCGATTAAATTATGCGCCAAAAACAGGTTGACAACTCTTGTTAATAAATAAAAAATACATTCTATATTAAAAATATAAGCTGTATCTCGGAAAAATCGATGCATCTCGCAAAAACCGATGCATCTCGATTTGCTTCCAAAATTTCATTCATCCTCTGCTGCTCAACCGATGCACTCGCATCGTGCACGCGCATGACCGCGTATCGATACATATCGGTTAATCTTCCCATCCCTAGCACCGACACATGCATTCTGGAGTTCACGGCGACCCGAGTTTGATTCCTGCTTCAAGGTCCAATGCTGATCCTTCCCCTCTCTCTGCTCCCCACACTTTCCTCTCAATTCTTTCTACTGTCCAGTCAAATAATGGCGAAAACCCCTAAAAATAATATTAATAAAAAAAAAAAAACTTATTCAGCATATGTTTTGCACAGCGGATGCCTTTCTAGCTGCAACCCAGTACTGGGAAACACCCATACACACTCATTCTCACACTCCCTCATACACTATGGCCAATTTAGCTTATTCAATTCCCCTATAGCGCATGTGCTTGGACTGTGGAGGAAACCGGAGCACCTGGAGGAAACCCAGGCCAACACGGGGAAAACATGCAAACTCGACAGAAGCGCCAACTGACCTAGCCGGGACTCGAACCTGGGACCTTTTTGCTGTGAGGCGACAGTGTTACCCACTGAGCCACCGTGCAGCCATCAAATCAATTTAAATAAGTAAAAGGCCTGCATGTGTGTGGTATAACAAAGCGCTCGCTCCTCTGCTGTCTGCAGGTCAGGTGAAGCAGGTGGATCCAGAAACCTTCCGCTTCTTCTACAACTTCTGGAAGGAAACGGAAGCGGCGGCGCAGGACGTGGATCTGCCGGCCGTCGTGTTGGAGCATCTGGAGAACGATGAGTGTGTTTACAAAGTCTCGTCATCTGTAAAAACCAGCCACGGTGTGGGGAAGATCGCCATGACCCAGCGCAGACTCTTCCTGCTGACGGAGGGACGACCCGGATACGTGGAGATCACCAAATTCAGAGACATCGAGGTGCAGAGGCAGAATTATTAACCCTCCTGAATATTGTTCCTCCCATTTCTGTTTAACAGAGAGAAGATTTCAGCACATTTCTAAACATTTTTTAATAGCTCATCTCTAATAACTGATTTATTTTCTCTTTGCCATGATGACAGCACATAATATTAGACTAGATATTCTTCAAGAGACTAATATTCAGCTTAAAGTGACATTTAAAGGCTTCACTAGGGTAATTAGGGTAAAGTTAGGGTAATTGGCAAGCAGCAACCTCCCGCTCTCTCTCGGAAGCCAATACGGAAGTAACTAAAACTGCAATTCATCTGAAATTCCGCTAGTCCTGGCCGTTCCTGGCTCCAAAACAGAGCAAGTTTCTATTGAGCCCACTGTTAGACTGGCCAACTTTACAGCAGAAAAAAGGTGTTTACAGCCTGTACAAAAAAAGATTTTGGTTAATACAGCTAATATTACCCTTCATGACAACTGTGAGGGGGGTGGATTTTTTTATAACTCATCCGATTCCTTTATATTAAGTTATATTAAGTTTGCATAATTAAGGGCGTGGTCACTTGATTGACAGCTAGGTCTCGTTGGTCGCCGTCACGTCACCTCAGCTGAATCCGGCAGTTTAGCCACTGAACTCGGCATATTTATCGTATTTCTGTGTTGTTTTATGTGGCTTTACACAGTCGACTGCCTTTTGGACTTGTTTCCTACAATTATTTGGTGGAATGTCATGCTGAGTGCACTTAATTGTGCTCACAAACCATTCACGTGGCCTCCGTCTCCCATGTGAGTAAAGTTATATACTTATATACCATCTCTATTCATGTATTTGTTTTATTTAAGATCATTTATCGTTTATATTTATATTTAGAGCTGTAATGCACTCCAGAATCTGACAGATTGATTAGCTGTAGGCTCTAGAACAGTCATCTGAAGCGTTATAATACAGTGTTATGCTGGATTTCATCAATAGTCTTACATTTACTAACACAGACTATATCTGAAGTGTTTGGATGTAATTCGCGTTTTCCTCCTGTTGAGAAACGTCATAAGAACAATGTTTAGTGGCTCTGTGTATTACTACAGTGTGTTTTTAAAAGACTAAACACTTTATTGATATAGTAAACAACCAAGCACAAGTGCTCAGAATACAAACGAGTGACAGGTGATAAAGTATTAAGCGTTCTCCCAAAGTAAAGTGTGTCTGAACCAGGTCCAAGCAAAATGCAGCCTGCGTCTGTAGCTCCGCCCACTCTCCGCCTCTTTGCCCTTGTTTGGTATCCCGCCGTGGGTGTGATGACGCGCGAACAAAATGGCGACAGTTGGCCGCGCCTACTTGTGGCTTCTTTTGCGCTCTTTAGAAACCTATGGGTGACGTCACGGACACTACGTCCATATTTTTTACAGTCTATGGTAATTAGGCAAGTCATTGTATAACAGTAGTTTCTTCTGGAGACAATCCAAAACTAATATTGCCAACCCAAGCTCATTCTGAAAACGTAGTCCCGCAGACGTTTCTGGAGACAGCGGAATACGTCCCGGGAGGTACGTACGGCTGCATTAATTTTTTTCAAGCGAACGCTGCGACGCTGTTCCCTTTCGCGCTTGCCGGCCAGCCGGCCGACCGCTTACCTCCTTGTGGAGGGCTTCCCCGCTGCAACCCGTTTGTCCACTCAGCTCACCGTATATGTCGGCAGGCTTGAGATCCAGAGAGGAGTCGACCACGGTGATTGGTTTTGAGTCTGGGGAGGAGCAGCAATCAGGTAAGACAAAAACAGAATCCTAAAAATTAAGTAAACGAGTTTCTGACAGGGTGAGAACGCGGTGAAATCCGAAAACGCGGTAGAAAAAAAACAATCAGGGCTTTTCTCTTTTTGGACGGCTTTTGTAAATTCTTGCTCGGGTTTAGGGAAGCGAGCGGGCGGGCGGGTCAATCGGTAAAATTGTTTGGGTTCAGGGAAGGAGGAGGGCGGGTCAGCCGATTGGCCGGTCGCACAGTCAATCATCCGGTCAGTCGGACAGCGGCCTCTGGTGGGTTCACGAGAGAACAGCGTGGGCACGAACCGCACTCGCGGATTCGCAAAAACAAAAACTGCAGCCGTACGTACCCGCCGGGACGTATTCCACGGTCTCCAGAAACGTCCGCGGGACTACATTTCCACAATGAGCCCGGGTTGAATATTGCTTAGGGGGGGGCTATTAATATTGACTTTAAAATGACTTTAAAACAATTAAAATCTGCTTTTATTCAAGCCGAAATCAAACAAATAAGACTTTCTCCAGAAGAAAAAATATTAGAGGAAATCTGGAAAAATGTCAGCGTAATAAAAATGTGTGTGTTCTATTATTCTGAAGAATACTGCATACACAAGTGATCCTGAAATGCTTTCATGTCATCATCCAGGATGTAAGGATTTCCTCTGCCCCGTTCCTCCTCCTGAGAATCCCATCACTGAAGATCAGGACGTCCCTCAGGAGGGAGTCATTCGAGGCCAATCTGAAGTCCGAGTGTGACCTCTGGCACCTGATGATCAAAGAGATGTGGGCCGGGAGGAAGATGGCGGACCAACATAAGGTTTGAGCATTGCAATAATCTGCTTTAGACAAGTGCCACAGCCGTATGGACATACACAATAAATGCGCCATATTAATACACATTACGAATGCGTTCGTCATCAGTGAAATATGCTCATTGTTATTTCTGCATGTTTTTTTATGCAGTATGTTGCTCACTTTGCAAAAAAAACCTAACAAAAACACATCAAAAATCATGTGATGAGTGTATTAGAATACAGTCAGAATGAGCATGTAATTCAGGTTAAAAATGAAAAAATATATATATAAATATATATATTTATGGCGACACGGTGAAAAGAAGGTCGCTGGTTCGAAACCCAGTTGGTGTTTCTGTGTGGAGTTTGCATGTTCTCCTTGTGTTGGCGTTGGGTTTCCTTCGGGTGCTCCGGTTTCCCTCACAGTCCAAAAACATGCGCTAGAGGGGTATTGATGAACTAAATTGGCTGTAGTGTGTGAATGAGAGTGTATGAATGTTTCCCAGTACTGGGTTGCAGCTGGAAGGGCATCCGCTGTGTTAAAATAAGCCTCTGACTTTTGTTCTAAATGTAAGTTATGTGCAATGTTCATTGCTGGAGTTCTTGTTGATCATTTTACTGTAATAAAAAAAAGCAGGTCTCCGTGCAAAAGAAGAGTGGTTTCAGAGTGTTGGGTTTAGTTTCGGGTTATAGTTGTTCTGTCTTTCTCATATATCTGCCTGTCAGACTCTTATCCTGGGGCTCAGGAGTGTCTGTCTGTCTTTGTGTGTGTGTGTGTGTGTGTGTGTGTGTGTGTGTGTGTGTGTGTGTGTGTGTGTGTGTGTGTGTGTGTGTGTGTTAATCTGTTCTCTCTGTCCTGCAGGATCCTCAGTTTATGGAGCAGGCTTTGACTAACGCTCTTCTGATGGACGCTGTGGTGGGCAGTCTGCAGTCTCAGAAAGCCATCTACGCTGCCACTAAACTGGCTTACTTTGACAAGATGAAGTCTGAGGGTGTGTTTCACTCAGCACGCGCTGTTTAAATCAACAGGAATTAAGTCTCTATGTGCATAAATAAATTAATTGGTGTTTGCTGCAATGTGTGTTAGTCTGAAGTAGGAATGTAATGTGTTTGTGTGTGTATAATATATATAATATGTGTGTATAAATGTGTGTGTGTGTGTGTGTGTATATATTTAAAGAAAAGATATGTGTTAGTAGTTTTAAACATGGCGAGGCAGTGGCGCAGTAGGTAGTGCTGTCGCCTCACAGCAAGAAGGTCACTGGTTCGAACCTCGTCTCAGTTGGCGTTTCTGTGTGGAGTTTGCATGTTCTCCCTGCCTTTGCGTGGGTTTCCTCCAGGTGCTCCGGTTTCCCCCACAGTCCAAAGACATGCGGTACAGGTGAATTGGGTAGGCTGAATTGTCCGTAGTGTATGAGTGTGTGTGTGGATGTGTGTGTGTGGATGTTTCCCAGAGATGGGTTGCGGCTGGAAGGGCATCCGCTGCGTAAAAACTTGCTGGATAAGTTGTCGGTTCATTCTGCTGTGGCGACCCCGGATTAATAAAGGGACAAAGCCGACAAGAAAATGAATGAGTTTTAAACATAAACATTATTGCAGAATTAGTTTTACGGTTATGTTTATAGTGAATCTTTTGTTAAAGGTGTAGATTAAACCATCACATGCAGTGTTCGTTCGTTAGTTTGTTCGTTAGTTTGTTCGTTAGTTTGTTTGTTAGTTTGTTTGTTAGTTTGTTTGTTCGTTCACTCATTAAATGCATTCACATGTAAAGTGATTGCATTGGCCTGTGTTCTTCTGATTGCTGTAGTATTTGTTGACTGTATCTGTCTGTGGGTTTATTGTAGTGCCCATGATGGTCCCCAAAACCACCTCTGACACCCTGAAGCACAAGATCAACCCGTCTCTGGACCAGACGAGTCCTCAAGCAGTGGACGTTCTGCTCTACACTCCAGGTGAGTCTCTCAGACACCGCCTCACAGCAAGAACGTCGCTGGTTCTAGTCCTTACCAAGCCAGCCGACGTTTCTGTCTGGAGTTTACTTGTTACCCCTGTGCTTACGTGGGGGTTCCCTGGTTTCCTCCCACCATCCAAAAACATGCAACTTAAGTTAATTGACTAATCCAAATCAGCACCATAGACATGCTCCTGGTAAGCAGTTATCTCTTAAGAGCGATCACTATCTGTTCATTAGCTAGTTCTCCACATCTACCTGAGCTCAAACTCCCCTCTCGCCTTGCAAACAGGAAGGAGCCCCAGGCTCGAGGATCCTATGAGCTCAGGGCTTTCTCCCGGGACAGCATGCCTAACACTCTTTATAAACAATCATCAGCTAAGTGTGAACTCTTGAGTTGTATGCTATTCTATTGAGTTGAAGCGGTCTGACCTGGCATTTCCACAAGCGTGTCACTTCTGCGGTTGCTGCAGCAGTGTGTTGTGTAATGTGTATCTCCAGTGAACTCTTTACGTGCTCCAGTGTGCTTCTGCAGGCATGTAGAAGAACAGGTTTTCAGATGTTTTGTGCAGAAACTGCTGTGGGCCCGCTTCACACGCTTACTTATTTCCTCTATCTGTCCCCACATCGCTCTCCTCAGCACACACACACACAGTCTTACTGGGAGACATTACAGGATACTTCAGCACTTTTTCAGTGTGTTTGATAAAGGCGTTAGCAGTAGTTGAACAAACATGAGTCCAGGTCAGATCACAGGCTTATTTAACACACGCTAGATTCCTGCTTGAAAGCAAAGGAATGATCAGAAGAAGCTGCTTCGTCATATGACTGATAACAATCAACAAATACTTCATTCTTCTGTTGCATAATGTAAAAACACTGTCCATCTGCTATTGGTTCAGCTCAGTATAATGGCAGAAGTCAGGTGTCTGCTGAATGATACAATACAACAATATCATAAAAGCTTCCAGGAAATCTCACAGGTTGAATTCCAACCCAAATACAACAGAAAGAGGAAAACAAGTTTATTTTGAGGTATGAAAGCTGCTTTCCTGATGATTCAAAGAATAATAATATTAATAGTAATATTAGTAATAGTAATGGTTGCAGTAGTAGTAATATTGGTCGTAGTAGTAATAATAGTAATAATTGTAATAGTGGTAATAGTAGTTGTAATAGTAGGAGGAGGGGGAGGAGGAGAAATAAAAGTGGTAATAGTAAAAGTAATGGTTGTGGTGGTAATAGTAGTAATAGTAATACTAGCAATAGTAGTAGTAGTAGTAGCAGTAGTAGTAGGAATAATAGTAGTATTAATAGTATTATTGTTATTATTATTAGTAGTAGTAGTAGTAATAATAGGAGTAGTAGTAATAATATTAGAAGTTGTAGTAGTAGTAATAATAGTAGTGGTAGAAGTAGTAGTAGTAGTAGTAGTAGTAGTAGTAGTAGTAATAATAGTAGTAATAACAGTAGTTGTAGTAGTAGTAGTAGTAGTAGTAGTAATAGTAATATATTAGTAGTAGTAGTAGTAGTAATAATAGTAATATATTAGTAGTAGTAGCAGTGGTGGTAGTAATAATAGTAATATATTAGTAGTAGTAGCAGTGGTGGTAGTAGTAATAGTAATATTATTATTAGTAATGGTAGTAGTAGTAATAGTAATAATAATAATAATAATAATAATAGTAGTAGTAGTAATAACAGCAATAATAGTAGTAGTAGTAGTAGTAGTAATAGTAATAACAGTAGTAGTAGTAATAATAATAATAATAGTTGTAGTAGTAGTAATAACAGTAATAGTATTAGTGGTAGTAATAGTAGTAGTAATAGTAGAAGTAATAATAGTAATAGTATTAGCGGTAGTGGTAGTAATCGTAGTAGTAATAGTAGTAGTAGTAATAATTGTAATAGTAAAATTAGTAGTAGTAGTAATAGTAAGATTAGTAATAATAGTAATGGTTATAGTGATAATAGTAGTAGTAATAGCTGTAGAAGTAGTAGTAGAAGTAAAAGTTGTAATAATAGTAATAGTAGTAGTAATATTTGTAGTAGGAATAATAGTAGTAATGGTGGGGGTGGTACTAGTAGCAGTAATTGTGATATTAGTATTAGTAATATTAGTAGTAGTAAAACTAGTAGTAATAGTTGTAGTACTAGTAGTAGTAGTAGTAATTATAATAGTAATGGTAAAATTAGTAGTAATAGTAGTAGTAATAATAATAATAGTAGTAGTAGTAGTAGTAGTAGTAGTAATAATAATAGTAATAGTAAAATTAGTAGTAATAGTAGTAATAATAATAGTAAGAGCAATAGTAGTAATAGTAATAGTAGTAGTAATAATAATAGTAGTAGCAGTAGAAGTAATTGTAGTAGGAATAATAGTAGTAATAGTAATGGTGGCATTAGTAGTAGTAGTTGTAAAATTAGTATTAGTATTAGTAATAGTAGTAATAGTAATAGTAAATTAGTAGTAGTATTAATAGTAATATTAGTAATAATAGTTATAGTGGTAATAGTAATAATACTAATAGCAGTAGTAGTGATAGTAATAATAATAATAGTAGTAGCAATAGAAGTAATAGAAATATTAGTAATAGTAGTAGTAGTAATAGTAGTAATAATAGTAATAATTTATTATAGTAATGAAAATGAATGAGACCAATAGTCATTGATCATAAACACACGTGTCTTGTGTTTGTGAGGTTCACATGATTATGTCACAGGACCAGCAGTTAAAACACTGAGATGGAAGACGTCCGACAGAAACATGTCCTCTCTTAAACTCCCATAATCCCCTGTAGTGAGGAGTCAGTGACTCACCAGGAGGATTTTACCACCAATCACAGAAAAACTGAAGCCACATGAAAGAGAGAGAGAGCCTTTCTGTAATCATTACCAGACTCCTGAAATGTGTGTGTGCGTGCGTGCGTGCGTGCGCATGTGTGTGTGCATGCATATATAAATGCATGTGCACGTGAATGTAAATGCATGCATGTGGGCATATGTGAGTGAGCGAGCGACCATGTGAGTGAACGAGTGAGTGAGTGACTGGCAGCTTAAAGACGCTTCTCATATGGAGAATGAAGCCACATGCATTGCTCAGGTGTGAGTTTCTCAATCTTGATGGTTCTGTGGGTCTCGTCAAATCAAATCTGAGCTTTGTCTTGTGTTTTTTATTGGATTCGGGTCAGGTGATTGGCTGGGCCATTCTTGATTTTCTTTCTCTGAAAGCATCTGAGAGTCTCCTTAGCTGTCTTTTGGATCATCGTCTTGCTGAAATGGGTTCATCTTCATCCTCCTGCTAATGTAGATGTTGGACTGAAGCAGCTGATGTTCATTTACGCTGAGGAAGGGCAGAAGCTTGCTGAAGAACTACTGAGAGAATCCAGCTGCTGTCTGGGCTTTCACTGCTAAACCACACCTCCCTTTCCTCATGTGTTCAATATATTCTCCCTGCATCATTGCATTTTACTACACATGACTTCATTTGGACACTAATTAGATTTGTTTTATTTGCATATATGGATTTCTTTGGTTGCTACCATCATCTGGAGAAAATTTAAAGTAAGCAGCACCTTTAGAAATGTGCTTTCTGAGAAAAATGCTGACGTGTTCAATACTCAATTCCCCCACTGTATGTTTATATAAAGACGTAGATGGCTAATAAAGTGTGTGTTGTAGGTCAGCTGGGTGTGTCAGATGTGGACGGTGGTGGGAACCCGAAGCTGTGGTGTGCTCTGAGTGATGGGAAGCTGCTAGTTTTTGACGCCGCCAGCTGGTCCATGCAGCACAACTCTGTTCAAGTCGGGACGTCCCGTCTGGTGAGGAAACTCTTCTGTACATATCAGATTAAATAACCTTGACGGATGACACATGATGCAGTATTGCTTACATCACACTTATCATCATCTTTTCAGTCCTGAGAGCTTGATTATGAGTTTCAGGAGGAAATACAGGGAGAATTTAGAGCACATTGTATACATTGGTTTTATTTGAGGAAATACCAAGCGGCAACCTCCCGCTCTCTCTCAGGAAGCCAATACGGAAGTAACTAAAACTGCAATTCATCCGAAATTCCGCTACTCCTGGCCGCTCCTGGCTCCAAAACAGAGCAAGTTTCTATTGAGCCCACTGTTAGAATGGCCAACTTTACAGCAGAAAAAAAGGTGTTTACAGCCTGGTACAAAAAAAGATTTTGGTTAATACAGCTAATATTACCCTTCATGACAACTGTGAGGGGGGTCAATTTTTTTAGAACTCATCTGTTTCCTTTATATTAAGTTATATTAAGTTTGCATAATTAAGGGCGTGGCCACTTGAGTGACAGCTAGGTCTCGTTGGTCGCCGTCACGTCACCTCAGCTGAATCCTGCAGATTATCCACTGAACTCGGCATATTTATCGTATTTCTGTGTTGTTTTATGTGGCTTTACACAGTCAGTTGCCTTTTGGACTTGTTTCCTACAATTATTAGATGGAATGTCATGCTGAGTGCACTTAATTGTGCTCACAAACCATTCACGTGGCCTCCGTTTCCCATGTGAGTAAAGTTATATACTTATATACCATCTCTATACATGTATTTGTTTTATTTAAGATCATTTATCGTTTATATTTATATTTAGAGCTGTAATGCACTCCAGAATCTGACAGATTGATTAGCTGTAGGCTCTAGAACAGTCATCTGAAGCGTTATAATACAGTGTCATGCTGGATTTCATCAATAGTCTTACAGTAACTAACACAGACTATATCTGAAGTGTTTGGAAGTAATTTGCGTTTTCCTCCTGTTGAGAAACGTCATAAGAACAATGTTTAGTGGCTCTGTGTATTACTACAGTGTGTTTTTAAATGACTAAACACTTTATTGATATAGTAAACAACCAAGCACAAGTGGTCAGAATACAAACGAGTCACAAGTGATAAAGTATTAAGCGTTCTCCCAAAGTAAAGTGTGTCTGAACCAGGTCCAAGCAAACTGCCAGCAGGTGTCTGTAGCTCCGCCCACTCTCCGCCTCTTTGCCCTTGTTTGGTATCCCGCTGTGGGTGTGATGACGCCCGAACAAAATGGCGACGGTTGGCCGCGCCTACTTGTGGCTTCTTTTGCGCTCTTTAGAAACCTATGGGTGACGTCACGGACACTACGTCCATATATTTTACAGTCTATGGGAAATACACACACACACACACACATTTCTTCTGAATTACAAATGTCATTTAGAGTTTTATTCCCCAGATAATTACAATTGGTCAAAATAACTTATTTTAAAAGAGTTTGATGTAATTTAAAATCAGGATTATTTCACCAAATAATGAATTATTAACCATTCTGATGTAAAAAATATTAATAATACAACAAAAAAAAATTATATTGAGGCATCTAAACATTAATATAGACATGTCTAATTCTAAAAACATTTCACTTTTTGTTTTGTTTGTACACAATTTAATTCCTGCTAAACTTTTAGCTTTTATTAGTTATTCTCAACGTTTTCTGATGTTGTTAAATGAAATTAAAATGCAACTAGCCTAAATAAAATCATTTAAAAGAAAAAAATGTTTTATTTCATGTCACATTTACGTAACAAATGCTGTTTTCATTGATTTAGTTTATTATAATGACAGCAGCAGACTGTACCATGTTTAATAAATACATTTTAAATTGTTTATATTAATTGCCAAATATAATAATCTGAAGGGGGCGGCACGGTGGCTCAGTGGTTAGCACTGTGGCCTCACAGCAAGAAGGTCGCTGTTTCGAGTCCCGGCTGGGTCAGTTGTCATTTCTGTGTGGAGTTTGTATGTTCTCCCCTTGTTGGCGTGGGTTTCCAAACACATGCGCTATAGGAGAATTGACGAACTAAATTGGACGTAGTGTATGGGTGTTTGCCAGTAATGGGTTGCAGCTGGGAAGGCATTCGCTGTGTGAAACATATGCTGGAATAGTGGGCGGTTCATTCCAATGTGGCGATCACAGATTAATAAAAGAACTAAGCCGAAGGAAATGAATGAATGAATAATCTGAAGAAAAAGACAAATTGAGTGCACAGCACAAATGGTGTTCTTACTTTTTGTCTTGTTTCTAGTCCAAAAAGAAAGCATTTTCTTGACAATGACATATATAGCTTTGTTTTCAGAAATAAAATGTCAAAATGAAGTGGGTTTTTTCTTAAAACAAGCTAAATAATCTTGTTTTCGCTTTGATAGCACTCCACTGTCAGATTATTTTTGCTTGTTTTAAGGAAAACTCGCTTTTATTTGGACGTTTTATTTCTGTAAATGACAATATTTTCACTTGTCTAGAAGATGTTTTGGATATCTGGACTAGAAACAAGACAAAAAGCTTCCAGGGGTCCGTTCTTCGTACGTGGATTACTCAGTTAGCTGGATTTGGATATTGACGATTTGACACGATCCAGGATCGTTTCGTTCTTCAAAGCTGATCCGAGAGTTGTTGTCATGGCAACAGATCTGCTAGGTCAAACCTGATCGGGAGCAGGTTCAAATCATATAAACAGGATTAGATCGGCTCAGTTCAAGCAAAGATAATACAGAAAGTATGTACCGAGTTCTGATATTTTCTTACAGTAAAAGTTATATACACTTGGGAAAATAGTAAATATTTTTTTAACTATATATATAAAAGTTATAGTCATTAATAAAATAAATAAAGTTATACATATTAATAAAACGTATGCAATCTGCACCCTCGAAATGAAAATACAAAGACTGCCACCTGGTGGTGCAAAGAGAAAACTTATTGATATGAACTTTTTAGATCGCTTTAGTACAAATTGTGTATAATAGAAATGCACAATATGTGACTTTTTTTAAAAAGCAATAATACATTTATGCAGTCATAAACATGTTTTGACAGTTAATATGCCAGTGATGCTTCACAAAAGTTGCAGACGCCTTTACCAATATCAAAATGCTTTTGAAAACAACCAGTTATTCTTTACACCGATTAAAAACGGTTACTATAACAAAGAAAATCTTTTCTAAATGAAGAACTAAATACATTGATTTGCATTGAAATACATGATGAATACTCTTGTCTTGACAAATGAAAGTGTAAAGCCTGCAGCTCACAACAAATGTGAAGTTACTGCGTGTCATATTTAACAAGCCGTTTACTGCTAATTTGATGTAATTTTGCTCACATGGATAATTGAATATTAATCTGATGATGTCATTACGCTGCTGTGCCGTCAGCCAATCGCTGCATTGCTGATCATGATTTCGAGGATCGATAGATCTGTCCTTCACAACACATGCAGCGATCTCAGATCAGTTCATCCAGACATTCTAATCTGATTCGCGAACTTGTTTGGAGAACCAAATTAGCCAGAGATCAGTTATCAAGATTAAAAGATCCAGGATCTGCCAAATCATCTTAGATCATTTAAGCGAGGTACGAAGAACGGACCCCTGGTAAGAAAAGCATTGTTTGCAGTGTGATCTAGTGTCTTAGTGGTGTACTGTGCTCCCCCTGCTGTTGACTGTCTGAACGCACACACTTACACACACTGCTGTTTTCAGACGTGTATGCTGGCAGTGAATGAGCAGCAGCTGTGGATCGGCTCTAAAGATTCCTTCATCTACATCATAAACCCGCGCAGCGTCTCCTGCAATAAACAGCTGACGGAGCATCGCTGTGAGCTCACCGGGCTCGCCCTGGAGGAGAGAGCCGACAAATTCAGGTGACGTCACAGAAAATATCCAACTTTTATTTCTATTTTTATTCTTTTGTGTTTGTGCTTTAAAATAAGTAAATTATATATATATATATATATGTGTGTGTGTATATGTTTCAATGGCCAATTTATTAGGTACACTTTACTAGTACTGGGTTGGACCCCTTAATCCTTCATGGCGTAGATTCAAAGTATTCAAGGTAATGGAAATATTCCTCAGAGATTTTGCTCCATATTGACATGATAACATCACGCAGTTGCTGCAGATTTGTCGGCTGCACATCCATGATGCCAATCTCCTGTTCCACCACATCCCAAAGCTGCTCTATTGGATTGAGAACTGGTGACTGTGGAGGCCATTTGAGTACAGTGAACTCATTGTCATGTTCAAGAACCAGTCTGAGATGATTGGCGCTTCATGAAATGGTGCGTTATCCTGCTGGAAGTAGCCATCAGAAGATGGAGACACTGTGGTCATAAAGGGATGGACATGGTCAGCAACAATACTCAGGTAGGCTGTGGCGTTGATGCTCAATTGGTACTAATGAGCCCAAAGGGTGCCAAGAAAATCTCCCCCACACCATTACACCACCACCACCAGCCTGAACCGCTGATACAAGGCAGGATGGATCCATGCTTTCATGTTGTTGAGGCCAAATTCTGACCCGACTATCAGAAATGGAGACTCATCAGAGCAGGCAAAGTTTCTCCAATCTTCTATTGTCCAGTTTTGGTGAGCCTGTGTGAATTGTAGCCTCAGTTTCCTGTTCTTAGCTGACAGGAGTGGTTAAACAGGTGTACCTAATAAAGTGGCCGGTGAGTGTATAAACCCATGTAACGTTGAATTGTTTTGTTAAACTGCAATCATTCATTGCTTTGAGAGAATCATAGCCAAGTGTTCATGATCAGGAGGTGATGATGTCGTGTGTGTTTCAGCCAGACGGTGGCGTACTCCTGCAGTGAGGACTGCAATGTGATCGTGTGGGACGTTTCCTCACTGCAGGTCAGACGGCAGTTCAGAGTGTCCTGCGGCCGACTGCAGTCCATGCACGTCCACAACGGCATGCTGTGGTGCTGTGAGTTCTCCTCCCTTATTTTATCTCAAACTACATTTACATTTAGTCATTTAGCATGCGCTTTTCTCCAGAGCGGCAGGGCTGTTGAATGCTTGATTCTCATTGGCTGATGAGCATTCTAAGGTGTGCCGTTATTGTCAGATAAATACATAGATAAAGTAGTTCCGGCAGGTTATGAGCGCATTACAGCTCCATATCACTACACTGAATGTTATTTCACAGTCAGACTCACATCAAAACACAACTGAAGGCTTTAGAGGAGGTGTGGAAGAAGCTTGTGCTACACAGGAGATGTTTGAGGATGAAAACATCTACTTTAATTCTACTTTCAGAGATTGAGTGAAGAAACTCTTTGTTTTTGTGTGTCAGGTGGTCGTGATTGTGTGCTGGAGGTGCGCAGGAACGGCTCGGTTCACCGTCGGATCTCTCTGCCCGATCACCTGCTGAGCTCACCAAAGGGCTTCAGCAGTTTCCTGCTCTTTAATGAGGTAAGAAACAGCGGTTTGACATTTCCTCCGAGCTCGTCTGCATCTCTGAGTCCATTCAGCACATCATCAACACTCATTAAGTCAAACGGCTAATGCAGCACACATGTGAGGTCATTTACAGCCTGTTTTAATGACTCTCGGCCTCTCTGATCAGACCAGCTTTGAGGATTTACAAGAAAAGAGATGCTGAAAAAAGTGGCTCCTAAATGAAGTCCTGAGATTTGTCAACAGACAGTCAACGCTTATGGATATTTGTGGTCATTTCACTGCAAAAAATGCTTTTCTTAGTTAGGTTTTTTGTCTTGTTTTTAGTCCAAATATTGAAAAGTTTTTAAACCAAGAAGCATTTTCTAAACAAGCAAAAAAACGCTGTCTTGTTTTATTAAATAATCCTAAAACAAGCAAAAGAATCTGCCAGTGTGGGGAGTATAATAAACTAGCTTTTCCTTTTGATGTGAGATTATTTTGCTGACCTCACTGGCTCACTCACACACACACACACACACACACACACACACACACACACACTTTTCTTCTGAATTACAAATGTCATTTAGAGTTTTATTCCCCAGATAATTACAATTGGTCAAAATAACTTATTTTAAAAGAGTTTGATGTAATTTAAAATCAGGATTATTTCACCAAATAATGAATTATTAACCATTCTGATGTAAAAATATTAATAATACAACAAAAAAAAAATTATATTGAGGCATCTAAACATTAATATAGACATGTCTAATTCTAAAAACATGGCACTTTTTGTTTTGTTTTTACACAATTTAATTCTTGCTAATCTTTTAGCTTTTATTAGTTATTCTCAACGTTTTTTGATGTTGTTAAATGAAATTAAAATGCAACTTGCCTAAATAAAATCATTTAAAAGAAAAAATGTTTTATTTCATGTCACATTTACGCAACAAATGCTTTTTTCATTGATTTAGTTTATTATAATGACTCTGATATCACTGAAACAGCAGCAGACTGTACCGTGTTTAATAAATACATTTTAAATAGTTTATATTAATTGCCAAATAATAATCTGAAGGGGGCGGCACAGTGGCTCAGTGGTAAGCACTGTGGCCTCACAGCAAGAAGGTCGCTGTTTCGATTATTTTGCTTGTTTTAAGGAAAAACTCACTTCATTTTGACTTATTTCTGAAAACAAGACTACATGTTTTGAAGTGTCTATATTTATTTACTTTATTTATTAAATCCATTATTCAATTCAATTCAGCTTTATTTGTATAGCGCTTTTACAATGTAGATTGTGTCAAAGCAGCTTCACATAAATGGTCATAGTAACTGGAACAGTGTGGTTCAGGTTTTAGTGTTTAAGTTCAGTTCAGTTCAGTTTAGCTCAGTTCAGTGTGATTTAATCATTACTGAGAGTTCAAACACTGAAGAGCAAATTCATCGATGCGTAGCTCTACCAATCCTGAACCATGCGAGGCAGTGGCGACAGCGGAGAGGGGAAAAAAACTTCACATGATGGGAGTGAAGAAAAAAACCTTGAGAGAACCAGACTCAGTTGGGCACGACCATTTTAATTTCTCCGCTGGCCAAAAGTCTTGTGCAGAGCTTCAGTCGCCGTGGTGGAGGCTGGAAGATGGCCTCAGCGAAGATTCGTCTGTCCCTGGAGCGTCGCTGGAATCAGACTCATGTTCTCCACTCCCCATGACCCATCAGCGCAGCAGCAGCTCAGGATATGGCCTGGTCCCGGATATGGAATCCTTGGGATCATCTCGTCGCTCGTATTCGTGAGATCTGCATCTTCTGTAAATGATTTTAAATCTACAGCCGCATCTTCTGACTCTTGCTTTTTACTCGTTATAAATTCTTGGTCTCTTTAAGGTTTAGTGTTTTGCATTTATTATTATGTTGTTGTTTTTTTATTCTTTTGTATTTGTGCTTTGAGTAAAACAAAACAAATTTAATAAAAAATAAAAAAATGTAAAAATGCAATGCTCAGAATTCTCTTTACCAAGGCTTTAATGATATTTCAATATCCTTATGAATTCTGCTTTGAAACTAACTTTTTCTTCAGTATGTAGGTTTACAACCTCCGTGAAGTCGGCACCCCATAAAAATAAATAATCCCAAAAACTGCGCCGTTCGTTTGTGCTGCAAAAACGAATGTTTGTGCTGGTTTGGTGTCTGAGATATCAAGCATTATTTGTTTTTGGACTGTGTGACGTTGATTTCCACGCCATGTTGCTCAAATCAGCAGTTAATTTGTGTTAAAACATACGCTGTATCTATTTTCCTTGTTTAGTAAAAACCAAAAATATTTTTCAGGAGCCGTGACATAACTTTCCACCACAGATCCTCTAAATCCCACACAACAGGAGTCATTCGTTTGGGCTCAAATTGTGCTGAAAAAGTGAACTTATCAATATTTTTCTGCATGTTAGAAAAATATTGATAAGTTCTTAAATTAAGAAGCAATTACTAGACAAGCTGAAAATACAGTCTTGTTTTAATAAATAATCTTAAAACAAGCAAAAGAATCTGCCAGTGGGGGGAGTAAAATAAACTCGCTTTTCCTTTTGACGTGAGATTTATTTTGCTTGTCTATTTATTTAATTATTTTATTTATTAAATCCTTTATTTGTGAGATGTGTACCCCAGATCCTCTAAATCCCACACAACAGGAGTCATTCGTTTGTGCTTGATTTGTGCTGAAAAAATTAACTTGTCAACATTTTTCTAAAATATTGACAAGTTCTTAAATTAAGAAATTAAGAAGAAGTAGTTCTTAAAATAAGAACTACTAGACAAGCAGAAAATGCAGTCTTGTTTTATTAAATAATCTTAAAGCAAGCAAAAGAATCTGCCAGTGGGGGGAGTAAAATAAACTCGCTTTTCCTTTTGACATGAGAATATTTTGCTGACCTCACTGGCTAATTATTTAGCTTGTTTTACAGAAAAACTCTGTAAAACAAAGACATATTTGACTTGTCTATTTATTTAATTATTTTATTTATTAAATCCTTTATTCGTGAGATGTGTACCCCAGATCCTCTAAATCCCACACAACAGGAGTCATTCGTTTGTGCTTGATTTGTGCTGAAAAAATTAACTTGTCAACATTTTTCTAAAATCAGATTCAGATTCAATTTATTTGTCACTACACTTTCGTATAGCGAGATTGGACCCCCCAGACCATACACAAACATCACAAACAACTTTTCAGGGGAGACAGATCTTAGGAGGTAGCATTTAGAAACGAAGAAAGATACATTTGGACAGTTAGGCTAAAAAACACCCCCTCAGCTTGCCCTTGATTAGGACAAAGTGAGAAAAGGGAGAAAAACAGCCCTCAAAATATTGACAAGTTCTTAAATTAAGAAATTAAGAAGAAGTAGTTCTTAAAATAAGAACTACTAGACAAGCAGAAAATACAGTCTTGTTTTATTAAATAATCTTAAAGCAAGCAAAAGAATCTGCCAGTGGGGGGAGTAAAATAAACTCGCTTTTCCTTTTGACGTGAGATTATTTTGCTTTCCCATAGCAGATAATTTTGCTCGTTTTAAGGAAAAACTCACTTCATTTTGACTCATTATTTCCGAAAACAAGACGATATGTTTGGCTTGTCTAGAAAATGCTTCTTGGTTTAAAAATTTGTAAATATTTGGACTTGAAACAAGACAAAGAAAAGCATTGTTTGCAGTGTTGTAGGCCCAGACCAAATCTGCACACACACAAATCCACAGATGTTTTTAGCCCATCATTGAATCTGGTTATTTACTGCATATTCATTCAGTTTTTATTTTAAACATTGATGATAGTGCAGTCTGTAACGTTACTTTGTGTAAAACATGCTTCATTGAATCAAATGTGACTATCTATTTAAATTAAATCCCATTTATTAATAAAAACTTAGTGTTTTGAGGGATATTTAATGTATTCTGACCTACAATAACTTCTGATTAGCTAACAATGCATCTAATTTTGCTTTACTTTTAGGCTATATGTATATATAGACACCTGTTTTATAAAGAAAAGTGTCTAGTGTACCCTTGCGGTATCTATCGGTGCTAGTTTGTGGGTGTTGAATGAATTATTTGTCATATACACTGATTTACAATGGTATGAAGCGTTATAGGGGTGACCAAATTTATATTTATATTACCTATGATTTTATTTTTAATACATTAACATTTAGTCATTTAGCAGACGCTTTTATCCAAAGCGACTTACAAATGAGGACAAGGAAGCAATTTACACAACTATAAGAGCAACAATGAATAAGTGCTGTAGGCAAGTTTCAGGTCTGTAAAGTGTAAGAAGCAAAACATTAGTAATTTTTTTTTCTTGTAGTTAGTGGAGGAGTCAGAGAGGCAATTGCAGATTAGGAAGTGTAGTGGAGACTAAATAGTTGAGGTTTTAGTGGTTTCTTGAAGACAGCGAGTGACTCTGCTGTTCTGATGCAGTTAGGGAGTTCATTCCACCCACTGGGCAGATTGAATGCCAGAGTTCGGGAAAGTGATTTCTTCCCTCTTTGGGATGGAACCACGAGGCGACGTTCATTCACAGAGCGCAAGTTTCTGGAGGGCACATACATCTGCAGAAGTGAGAGCAGATAAGGAGTAGCAAAGCCAGAAGTGGCTTTGTAAGCAAACATCAGAGCTTTGAATTTGATGCGAGCAGCAACTGGCAGCCAGTGCAAACGGATGAGCAGCGGAGTGACATGTGCTCTTTCAGGCTCATTATAAACCACTCGTGCTTTTAATATTAATATTTGAGATACAGATCGGCAAAAACTTTTTCTCACTATTAAAGTGCTGTAAAGTGCATACATCTTGTTTTGACCTCCTTCAGCGTAAGTCAATCCCCCCCCCAAACCCACCTGTAAATCACACCCTGCTGTTAAGCCACTGCAATGACAGCAGCTCTTCATATGAAGTTGATATCATGATGCAATGATGTTGATATTAATCGTCTGTCTATATGAAGATGTCGATATTAATGGTGTAATTGATCTGTGGTTTCAGTCGGAGCAGCTGTGGGCTGGTTTTGCGGATGCGGGTGAGCTGTGTGTTTGGCACTGCAGAGACATCAGCAAACCCTTCATCAGGATTCAGCTCAAAGACTGCGCCGCCGTCACCTGCATGATCAGGGTCAAGAACCAGGTGAGACGCACGTTCACCAGTCTGACTGTGTGTGTAAGTGACAGGATTTTGGATAAACCGACATGGTGTGTGTATATTTCTGTGTGTGTGTGTGTTGTCAGATCTGGGTCGGCGGTTACAATGGCAGCGTCACAGACAGACGAGTGCGAGGGAAGATCTACATAGTAAACACGGACCGATATACAGTGGAGAAAGAGCTGCAGGCCCACGCCGACGCCGTTCAGACCATGTGTTCAGCCGAAGACCGATATGTGCTCAGCGGAGCCGCACAGGATGATGGGAAAATCGGCATCTGGAAGGTGGAGTAGAGGTGAAACTACAGCATACATTCATTCAGGAAGTGTTCACGCTCAACAGCTTTGAGGAAATTAAAGGGACAGTACAGTCATCATTCACTCATCCTCCAAACCTGTTGGAGATTCTGTCGAACACAAAGGAAGATATTTTGAAGAATGTTGGAAGCTTCCAACTATTGACTTCCATTGTGTTCCTATTATAGATGTCAATGGCTGGTTTTTCCAACATTCTTCAAAATATCTTCTTTTGTGTTCAACAGATGCAAGAAATTGATTGAAGTGTTGAAGCACTTACTACACTAACTTAGCTTGTATATGAACGCAACATGAACCAAAGACTTATAATAAATCAGTAAAGACATGATGCCACAGCAATGCATAATCCCATCAGAATCCTCAAGCATACCTGTTTCTTTTTTGTTTGTTTGTTTGTTTGTTTGTTTATTGTTTTTCAAAGTGCAAAAAAGTTCAATATATGCATTGAAAACCTTGTGTGTGATTAAGGAAATTCTGGTTTAATAATATAAATTAACTAAAGTAGTTTTTAAACTAGTATTTAAGTCCATTCCCTCTGTTTTTGTTGGCTATAATAAGGTGTAAACACAGGCTAACATGTAAAATGAACAGCCTCTGTTGTCTTGCATCTATACAAATGAGAGGAAATGTAATGCATTCGTGTAAAATGAACATATGCAATGCAAACACACACACACACACACACACACACTGCCTGATGGGAAATATGCCATATTACTGTCCAGAGCATGCACACTTTCACATTCAAGATGCTATGAGCTTTTGGCTTAATACTTACTACTGTAAACGATTAATCACATCCAAAATAAAAGCTAATATTTACATAATATACATGCTTATTAAGTGTGCGTACCGTGCATGTTTATTTTGTCTTTATATAAATGCATATAATTATAAATAAATACACAAGTAGACTTACATATTTTTATTTTGATGTACAAATGAAATATTTATATCTATCACATAAATAAATATAAATATTAAAAGAAATTTGCATTTTATAGAGTTTATATATGCACAATATTTATGCACCACGAACACACACACATTATGTAAACACAACCTCTTATTGTGGATGGGATTGATCATTTGACAGCTCTAATTTTGACACTATGATGAATCGCTCAGTGTTTTATCAGTATTTATGAACCTCGTTGGTGCCTGAATATGATTTATGATGGATCATCATTTATGATGATGATATGCGATGGTTTTTAATGAGCCAAAAATGCCAAACTCTGGAAGACGTCCAGTGTAAATGTTTATTATTGCACAAATGGCTGGAGCTGACTGGCTTGTTTTAATATGTCTGTATTGCATGACAGGCCTACTGTACATCATTATTGTTTTAACAAAAAAAAAAAAAAAATCACTAATTTGTGTAATCACTCCGTCTCATTTTATCTGCAATCTCCTCTTCGAAATGTCAAATGCACTTTACTCTCCAACACTAGTTCTCTTGTTTACCGATTATACATTTGACTCTTCAGTTTTGTTTTGAGTCAAAGACGAACAATGAGCCTCAACCAAGCCATGGGACACAATGAAGGATTTACTGTCAGTGCAAATGCGTTTGTGTAAATAGTTGTATATTAACTTTGTTTTACTTTTTTTGCATTTGTTCAGATGTTATTTTCAAAGGGTTTAGATTATGAATATAAAGGGAAATTAACAATGACTTATGTATTTATTGTGTGTAAACAAAATCACTTGAATTAAACTTGTAGTGTTATTTGCTCTTTGGATTTCAGTTCTGTTTTCAACCACTAGAGAGCAGCAGAGTCAATCTCTTCATCCTATGATGCACTTTCACAGGAAATTCGTGAAATACTAGTACTTTACACACTGTGTTATGCATAATATTTAAATTCAGATATGTTAACAGGTTAAAAAAAATATAATATTGTTTTACATTTTTATGGATTTTTAATTTGATTTAAAAAAAAAAAAACAAGATCAGTTTATGTTATTACAGTTCATTTGGCACACAAGAGTTAAAGATAAATTTCCCAGAGATGGGTTGCGGCTGGAAGGGCATCCGGTGCGTAAAAACTTGCTGGATAAAAATCATTTTTTGCTTTCAGAAATAATAAATCAAATATTAAAGGGCACCTATGGTGAAAAATCTACTTTTCAAGCTATTATTGTGTGTCAGCTGCGGTGTGCGTGTGTATCTCTGTGTGTGTGTGTAACTTTGTAACGATATTGTGTGTGACTCATCAATGCAACTTCACAATACTGATTAGTAAAGGTTAGTTCTTACTGTAGTATTTTTCACAAACGCTACGTGAGCCCTTCTTCCTTTAAGTCTGTCTGTTGTCTGACGCAGCCGAGGGAGGAGATTAAAGCACGCGGGAAGGCACGTAGAAACAGTAGGCGGGCAGAACTCGCCTTAAAGGCGCAGTACAACAAAACCACCCCCAGCTGGAAATCAGTATAAAACAGCATCTTGTAAAAGGTATAATGAAAAATCTGATGGGTATTTTGATCTGAAACTTTATATACACATTCTAGAGACGCAAAAGACTTATATTAAATCTGAAAAAAAGGGATAACCTAGGTGCCCTTTAAGTGAGCTTTGCAATAAAACAAGCATAATTATTACATATATACATAAACATATCTATGATGATGATATCTTTGTTGTTGTTTATTTTTTGTTTTTACAAAAGATATATATATATATATACACACACATAT